TTATTTTAGTGTGGTTTACAGTAAAAGATGTTTTAATTTTGTCTTTGCCTTATAATGAGTTATACTTTTGTTCACTTTTACACATTTGCTCACCTCACTCACAGTCAGCCGCTCTGACATGGTTAACCACCTTTCTTGTGTTGTTGGTTAATCATATGAGCGGGATATAAATACCTCATTTCATTTCATACTTTGACGTGGCCAAGGCCCTTCTGTGAAAATTGAAAATTCTTGGCGAGTGATTTATAGTGGGATCATAAATATATTGCAGTTGCAGCAGCAACAGCAACTGCAGACACCACCGATTGTTCGTATATTCGCTGCATATTATTATTATCACGAGCTTGACCACAATTTTACATTAAAGAAGCCGCAAACTATCCTAACATTAACAAGACCCAGGCTATACGATAGGCGATTGCTTTGATAATGAATGAGCGCGATGACTTTGCAAGGTGTTTTCTCTAGATCTTTATATTATCATTATCAAGAAACTGCAACATGTGTTTCAAAGCTGACAGGTATCATCCATTCTGAAATTAAAATGAAGTTCTGACTTGTTTTTTAATGTAATCAGGCAAATCAAGCTGGTACCTTAAGGACATTCTCACGCAACCAGCATGTTTCTTTGCTCTTCAACAATATCAGCGTTTGATCATTTGTAGCAATATCACTTACATGCTTTATTGTTGAAGGTAGAACTCTCATTAGAGGATAAAGTTTTGCTGCTATCATAGCAGGTAATCGAGGTTTATGGACAAAATCATTTGAGCGAAATTGGGGAAGGGGTGTGGCCCAAATAAAAACGGTACTTTTAATTAATGCGATTGATTTAATGGTTGGGCGATTAACAAGACACCATTTCGACCGATTCTATTGATTAATATCGTTCGACAATAATATCGGTTTCTAATATTACTATCACTATCAGTATCAACTATCAAGACCACTTTGGGCGTGCTAATGTACTTCGTCGAACTGAACCTAACTTGTAGTGACCGTATGTGTGTAATCTTGGTGAAAGTACGTTAGTCCCTGCGGTCTTGATCACTTTACAGTTACGTTAAGTCATCAAGTCAAAGAAAATTTATCAAAGAATTTAGTGTCTCTGTTCGACTTCGACTAAGTAATGACACCCAATAATTCCGAAACCTAGATCCGATTCAATTAGGAATGTTTGCCTTTTATTGAATAGGTAAACCTTCCATACATTTACAAATCAACTATTCCGGATTGATTCATAAAAAAGTTGTTTAACTTTAGCATTTTAGAAAACAAGCTAACTTAACGGAGTTCCACACTATTTTGGAACATCAGAGACCGAACCAGGAAAACTTTTGGGCCTCACACAATTTGAAGTAAATTTAAATTTAATTTCATCTCCTTTGCCGTTTTCTTTTATTCGTACGGTACGTACAGAAAACAGTTACATCAAGTACTGGCCAGTCCTATCCAACATTTCATATGACGTATTCATTTATTCAACCATTTAACTAATGAGACCTTTGTGAAAACAGTAGCTTTCGGCCGTTTAAATTTAATTGCTTATTGCGGCTGGGCTTTAACCTTTTTTGTAATTTACCCACCTGTTCCCAGTATTCATTTTTTATTTTTTATAAGCAGTTTCGTGTCGTTTGAGTTTAACTTTATTAAAGTTAAATGTTTGATGCTTCTTCAAGTGCTAAAATTCAAGTTACTATTGGCTGAAGAGTCAAGAGTTACATAAAATTTAGTATATTGGATTCTGTTATGCGTAGAAGACTTCGCAGTTTTTGTTAATTTTAAGATTATTTCATTCTGATAGTTGGATAATATCCGGTTGCAGAAGAGACAAGGACAAATGGAACAGGAAGTTAGGAATAGGAATGTATGCAAATTTTCGGCGTCAACGCCATCTTCAGGCTAAAATTATTTGTTATATATATAACAAATATATATTAAAATACTTTCAACACTACTATAATAACATAAACCCGCCACGCAAAGGGTTTATATAACAGATCATCCCGCGCTAGCGGGATGATCTGATAAACAATAAACACATGATACGAGTGCGCGCAGCGCACGAGTTTTGTGTTAATATGTAATCCCGAAGCGCCAGCTGAGGGATTACATTTATTTAGCCCTGAGCGTGAAGTGTTTATGGATTATAATTATCTCCGGCGATTTCGACAAGGGATTTAGAGCCCAGTTGTTGACTCTAACTGTACTGTCCGGAACACGATTGGAAAGCAGTTCATCAATCTGAATGTCAAACCGCGATCTGTCATAGTGGAGCAATAGCTTGAACGTTAGCAGGAACAAGAGCTGGAAGGAGAGCAAGCAAAACAATATTATTTTTAGGGCACGGACAAGGGTAGCTGGCTAGTCGCCAACTTCTCACGCCACGCGTTGGAGAAATTCCAAGAATTAGCTGCTTTGGCAACGTTCTCAGGAATTTGCGTGTAAAAGAAGTGGACGGTTACGATGTTTCATATCACGTGGTGCGCTTTCGTGTCACGTGATCGCGCGTCTAACTGTTCTACTATTATCGAGTTCTAATCAGCAGTATCATTGATTATTGTAAGTCGGAGAATTGAATGATAAACATCAGTTACGACTAAAAAGCGGGCCGGGTTTATACAAATTTCCGGGGCGGGATGATATCACCTTGAGATGTTTATCTAACAGCGGGCCGGGCTGAGTGATAATATGATCCCGCGTCGAAATCCCGGAGATATTTATATATAGTAGAACTACTCCATCATTTGATATTATTTCATTCAGATGACCTGTAATTTCGTGAACATTTTTTTTAATGAGTGAAAATAATGTAAATTTGTAGTTGACCCTGGTCATTGACATTAGGAAAGTTTGCACGAAATGGACCACGTTTTTCCCAATTTAACTTTAGAAGATTTTCACAGCAAAAACTTTTAAGATAGGCATATGATATTTCACATGTATATAGTTCAACTAATTGAGTTTCGATTAATAAAATTTTTGAAGCATTTAGTCGAGGGCAAATGGAGGCTAACGAGTCATTTTACATTTTGTATTCTAATGACAGCTTCCAAGTATGTAATAAAAGTTTAAACGTGTTCAATGGATTCATCAGATCGAACTCTTTCAGAATCCAAAGAGAAAAGGGAAATGTTTTCCTTACCTGAGGACTTACCTGGGGACCTCAGGCTATTATGTTCATAGAGATTAGGCGGAATGACAGGCTGAGCGCGGCCCAGTAACTGAGGACCCCAGGCTATTATGTTCATTAACATAAATAATTCCGAATAAAGATTTGGCGGAATGACAGGCTGAGCGCGGCCCAGTAATGTTTTCCCTAATTGAGGGGAAATGAGGCTAACAAGTCATCACTAAGTTATGAATTATATTTGAATAATAACGTCTATCAAAGTATCATCTGAGCTGTTAACCTGTTTTCGTACATTAAAGTTAAAATGCGGTCGAATTATTTATTACCCTCATTTTGGCCTCCTACAAGTAGACTCGACGATTTCTGAAATGTTGAGCTTGAAGTGGATGAATCAATCTTTGTTGTTGAAATATTAGATAGTCACAATACCGAACCTACTCGAAAATATACATAAAAGTATACTTGTTAACCTCATTTCACCCTCTTAAAAGGTGGTTAGCCTCATTTTCACCTCGGATATCTAAAGCTTAGATCTCGATCAAGTATAATCACTATGGATTATACTTGCAACTTGGATATCATGGACGCAACATAAGAAAGTTCTTTTTTGAAAGTGATAAGGCTAATTCATTGGACATTGGCCGCAATTGTCTCTCGCAGTTCAATCACTCCTACTGAGTCTCGTGAGTAAGCTTGGAGGTCACCGGACATCTCATTTTAAAGCCGTATTAATTTTCTATATGCATACCAAAAATCAAATGCGTTACTAAAACAGAAATGAAATTACAGAAGTTTTAAATTTTTTGTAAAAAACGAACTTTTAGGGGTGCTCCTAATGACCAGGGTCAGTTAGCCCTTTGGCGGCAGCTTAGCTTTTGACTGTTATCGAATTGTTTAAAAACTTTCTCAGCCCAGTCCTGTTCACTGTAATATCCCTTTAAGTTTAAGATCTACGTGCCCTTAGAAATCATACATATACTTTAAATGTTACTGGACGACGCTCAGCCTGTCCCTAGGCCATATCTTGTATTTATAAACACTGAGCCTGGCGACTCCTAACATATTCTTTATTTTCTAGAATACAAATAAAATATGATAACCAAATTGCTAAGTAGATCAGCAGAGTTGGCAATTAAATTTTGTTGAACCCCGCAACTGACAACTCCCATCAAATTTCACAGCCTCTAGTCCTCTGTATCTTGTCAACACAGAAATTACCCTGAGTGCAGTGTTCAAGTTCCACCGAACCTCATTGTTTTTGTACAGCTGAGCCCTGAGATTAATTTGTTGGTCAGTTTATTGTTTATGTTTTGAGCTTTAGTCATAGTGAGCTATGTAAAGCTTGGGACAAGAGTCTGAAGCATCTGGAAAGTTGATCTGGGCAGCCACAAGTCACAACTTATTTATCAAATTTGATCGGATGATTGTGAAAATATTGTTCTGTTTTTTAGCATATAGTGGGTTATCTTGGGGGTAGAAGGGCTGGTGTAATTTCTAGCCAATGATTGGAAATGGTTTACAGAGTGGATGATGGGTCTAAAATGGCACGTTATCATACGAGAACGTAATAAATTGTGCTAACTCCGTACCAACTTTATAAGAGAACGTAATAAATTGTGCTAACTCCGTACCAACTTTAGCACTCTATTAATAACGTTGACCACGTGCTAGCGCTTATCAATGTTACCACTGTCAACTGTCTTATACGGACAATCAAGTCTGTAATATATTACAAGCAGTTGCAGTCGGTGGTCCTGTTACAGTGTATCAACGTGACTTATTTGCTTATTTGATACTCATCATGATAATATCTTGATCTCATATCTTGATGACATTGTTGTACCACTAACCACTTTAACTCCTCCTAGTTCCTCTCTCATGAACACGTCCAGCAACCTGACAGATGAACTCAGTCACTTCCACGATGGTGGCACGGAAAATGCCACTCCGGAAGTACAGTGGGTCCGGTGGGTGGACATAGCTGTGGGGAGTGTGGGGCTGTCCATCGGGCTCTACTCTCTCTTCGTTAACATCATTATATTAGCTGTTCTAGTCCGGATGAGTCGGAGGTATGGTATTTGTCCAGCTACTTTTAGTTTACTTTTTACTTGGACTTTCAGTTTTCCTTTCACTTTTAAAATTGAGCGAACCTTTGATACTTCAATAACTATACCAAATCTTACGACTCGTTAATTTTATCTACGATTACATTGGAGAACCTTAAAGTTAAAGCCTAGCAGTCTATAGGAATATGTTCGCACATAATAAACAAATTATTTGTTCAGATCAGTCTCAGACACAGTGTTCTGCCATCTTGCAGTAACTGATATCATGGCCAGTCTGGATGCTATCTTCGCTTTCGGGATCCTCCTATCAAACAGAACTTTCTTCGATTTCTACATACTAGACGATATCATCTGCCAGTTTACAGGTTTGCATTTGTTTTTTCTCTATGTGTTTCTCGACTTCACAATTTGTCCACAGTTTGCTTACATGTGTGTTTATTTGATTTCGGCTGTGTTCAAATTCGCTGTCTTCGAACCCGTGGATCAGCGGAACCTTAAACAGTTACTGATATCTATATCTCCTCTGTCAGGGTTCACTACTATGCCTCCAGGGTGTGCTCTTCGATCAATCTTTTTGATAAAATCTAACGTTCTCTCGTTCAGGTATCACGTGGTGCGTGGTCTCCATAGCAACGCCCCTACTACTATCCATCATTAGTTTCGGACGGTTTGTGGCTCTGTATCTGCCTCACAAATATGACAAGTACTACAGTCCCCCCTTATCTACTACCCTTATCATTTCTTCTTGGATCATCAGGTGAGTTATTGAAAATTTGTGGTTAGCGTGATTGAAATGGAGATATTAGCAAAAACGATCAGAAGTGAAAGAGAAACTGATTATGAAAGAGAAACTGAAATTATATTTTCTCCCAGTGTGATAGGAGGTACGATGCACGTGTGGAAACTGGAGGGAATGCGAATGAACCCAAAGTGGGGTTATTGTGACTACAGACTCGTGGACATATACTCACTTACTGAAGTCAGGTACAAACGTAACACAATTGTCAGAAAATTTAAAATCTATCATATATTTGAGCATCTACGATCTTTCAACAGCAAAATTCCCAGTGAAACTCACGAGTCTGCCATTTAAGTTTAACTTTCTTTGGTTTTTTACGTGTGACTTGAAATAAGACAAGCTTGTAAACCAGTTGATTCTATGACCTATATTCAGGTACATCGTCGTATTCCTCTACTCACTTCCCCTCACTGTTTCTACACTAATATTACTCGTCTGCAACTTAGCTGTGGCTCTCCGACTTATCAGGTAACTACACTTTTACTACACTTTTACTACACTTTTACTATACTTTTAGTTTTACTACACTTTTACTACACTTTTACTACACGTATACTACACTTTAACTACACTTTTACTACACTTTTACTGCACTTTTAGTTTTACAACACTTTAACTGTACTTTTACTACACTTTTCCTACACTTTTCCTACACTTTTACTACACTTTTACTACACTTTTACTACACTTTTACTACACTTTTACTACACTTTTACTACACTTTTACTAAACTTTTACTATACTTTTACTACACTTTTACTACACTTTTACTACACTTTTACTGTACTTTTACTATACTTTTACTACACTTTAACTACACTTTTACTACACTTTTACTAGACTTTTACTACATTTTTATTGCACTTTTAGTTTTACTACACTTTTCTAAACTGCACCTTGTAGTTTTTATTATCGTGCAGTACAATACACTTTATTTAGTGCTGATTAATTAACTTAACTTTTCATCATTTTTATACTATCTATTATCTAAGCATACACTTGAATTTAGTACTGATTATTTTACTCAATTTTAATTTTATTACTCAATTTTCTATTATCAGAGGATTTTGATTATTTTCGTTGCTGATATTATCACAGGAAATTCACAATTGTTGTCCATGTCGCATATTGTTAAATCGATAATTACATGTACCTACTTGGGTTACTGTTTACGGGTATTTCAAAATATGATATTTTATTGACAATAAATTTCACGGACACAGGGTACAGTTCAAAAAGCCACTAGACGTCCTCGTATCCCTATTTTGCCCGGGAAACAGTTTGGACAAGGACGCGGTGGTGTTCAGCAACGGTCCGAGTAATGATCCTGTAGAGTGTTCCTTTAGGTCCAGGGATGGTGCTAGTATTGAGTTCGAGATGACGGTCACCGATCAGGTGGGTTCACTTTCAAGCAAGTTTTATGAACTAATTTGGTGGTTTTGTAATTTCGATGGTTAATCATTGGTTCTCTTTTACAATCATGGTAATGGTTCCGACAACATTTTGACTTCGAGTTTGTCAGTATTCCTTTCAAATACGGTATTATTGTTTTACCAGACTTAATAGTTAAAACTGATAGAGTCACATTAAGGAATATGTAACTAGGTCAAATAAACTGGATGTATGTTGATCGCTATACTAATGGGTATCCATTGCGGTAAAAATGATTTTTCCACATTTCGATGAAATGAGTATAGCCGGTGCTTGTGACTGGTCCAAGCAATACATGCTCGGTCGCGTGCTATATATAATGACGGTTATCATCATTTTAAGGCTTCCCGCTTACCGCAGGAGGCCAGCGTCCGTTGGGTGTTGACCTTAAAACAGAGAGAGAGAGAGAGAGAGAGAGAGAGAGAGAGAGAGAGAGAGAGAGAGAGAGAGAGAGAGAGAGAGAGAGAGAGAGAGAGAGAGAGAGAGAGAGAGAGAGAGAGAGAGAGAGAGAGAGAGAGAGAGAGAGAGAGAGAGAGAGAGAGAGAGAGAGAGAGAGAGAGAGAGAGAGAGAGAGAGAGAGAGAGAGAGAGAGAGAGAGAGAGAGAGAGAGAGAGAGAGAGAGAGAGAGAGAGAGAGAGAGAGAGAGAGAGAGAGAGAGAGAGAGAGAGAGAGAGAGAGAGAGAGAGAGAGAGAGAGAGAGAGAGAGAGAGAGAGAGAGAGAGAGAGAGAGAGAGAGAGAGAGAGAGAGAGAGAGAGAGAGAGAGAGAGAGAGAGAGAGAGAGAGAGAGAGAGAGAGAGAGAGAGAGAGAGAGAGAGAGAGAGAGAGAGAGAGAGAGAGAGAGAGAGAGAGAGAGAGAGAGAGAGAGAGAGAGAGAGAGAGAGAGAGACGGTTATCATCTGTCTCCCACGAGATAGGGACAACGGAATTAGTGTTGAACTTATCAGGGTAGCTGGTAGCACTACAATCAGGCAGATTGGAAATGAGTTCAAACCTGAATACGGCTGCACAACTACAACATTCATTACACTAATGAGGCTACCGGTGTCCCTAGTGTTGAATGTCAGTTTGATTAGAATGGTTGAAAAAGTTTGGTGTGATAACAATACCCCCCCCCCCCCCCCCCCTCCCAATACAAATCTGCTCGACTAAAATTCACTCTTATTGCTGTTATCATAGAGGGACTGATAAAAAAGAAAAAACACTTTTACGATCACTTCATGAATAATTATATCTGACAACTGTTGGGGGCAGGCCGGGGGATTCCGTCATTTCTGTACCATTTGGGAAAATAATTAAGTAGAATCGGTGATCGGGACAAAAAAAAATACAAAAAAGGACAAAAATTAGGAAATATCTCATCGTGACTTACAAATATTCGAATTTATGTCCTGCAAAAGTGTACAGAACCACAAAATACACCGGACTGTGTAATCGATAATTCGCGAAATACTGCGCCGCGCTCCTATTGGCTGATATAAACTTTGGGCCGTGACGTCACTCTAGTCTAGTTTCCACGTGCGCCCTATCAAATGTACAGAATTTACTTTCGAGTTTACGTTGCTTTGATCATTCCAACCCCACCCATATAATACTAATAGATTCCAGCAACTGCTAAGCCTCTCTGCCCTCTGGTGTATATTCCAGCCCTCATGAATTTTGCCACAAGATTACTCAGTCTATACTCTATAATAAAGCTTATATACTCTCAGCGAGATCACAGCTTAGATACGTAGCATCCGCCATGATCCACAAGACCGCTGTTTCGGAACAGTCTCTAAAGCACTCTGAACAGTCTCTAAAGCACTCTGATATAGTATGGGTAGCATCAAGCTGCATCTCTAACTCGTACAATTACATCCTTTTTAAGGTGGCTACTGGAAAAGCCATTGTGGGCACCATGAGATTTCAGGTGACCACTTTGGCGTTAAATCATGCTATCTTGTGTCCGGCTCGTGTGTCTCATTACTTACTGCTCTGGAGGGTAGCTAATATGGATCCGAGCAAGGAAAGAGCTAGGTATACAAAAAATAGGCCTGGAACAGTGGAACCACTCAATCGGCAGTTTCATATTTTCAACTCTACTACACACCAAATAATTTAAGATAAGATTAAGTTCAAATGCAAAATGTGTACCTATTTCTGTCCGGAGATCAGACCATCTTTTATTTATTTTGGTAAGCCTTCCACAAAGATGGCTCTAATAAACGATGCAATAATAAAGATCCCAACATATCCCGACAGCCGACTCCCAGTCCACAGTCAGGTCTTCTTACTCTTAGTATGATTTTGTGATCAAAACCATATAGTAGCCGATGTTGTTACAATCAAAGTACTAATCACCTTAAACCTAATTTTAGTGTACTTAAGCCAACTGATGAATTAAATGTACTGGCCGTAATTTCAAGAGCTTCAGATACAGCCATACTTGGTTGAATTCTCCCCACCTCATTCGATCGGTAAAGTTAAGCACATTTTTCGAATTTTTTTCTTCAATCTGGGGTCTTTATATCAATGCAAATGGGGTGACCAAACTTATAGCTAAACATGTCAGGAGCCAGTTAAAGCAGTGAAAGCAATATAAATTAACACCTGAGCACACTCAATATAAATCACTCCTTCCTTTCCTGACACTGAAATCTTTGGATTTTACCATTTGAAGTGTAATTTTCAAATATATGGATAGTTTAAATACATATAACTATAGAAATGTAACATGAACAGTGAACACTATTCAGTTCTCAATAGATGCATAAAATATGACATAGAGTCGGGACAAAAATAGTGAGTATTTTATACTGCAAACTTTTAACATTTGCTCATAAAACCTTTTTACAGACACAGACGAAGGCAATGGTAGAGAACGGTAAAAGGAACAGAATAACCCCCTTGACTGCGGGGAGAAATCAAAATAAAACTAATACAAAAGGGAAATCAAAGTCGAGACGTAGGAAGGAAAAACAGGTGAGTTCTCGATCAGTAGCTCTTGAGTCTTGAGCAAAAGTTGAGAAATCCTTTGTGATATATACAGGCATTTTTATGACGCAATTTAAGATGGTAAATGAACATAGAACTCCATTGGTATACAACTGGTGCTGACTTAACGAAGTTTAAATGATAGGAACACTCTCCAAAACACTGTACTAAATGATGTGACTAACTACTACTAAAACTACTCACAGACTCCACACAATTTATTTGAATACCTCTGAAACAAGAACCTGTCGTATTATTTACATAACACCCCCTTCACAAAACTAACTCCCTCTCTCTGCAGGTTATTGTAGCTACCCTCCTGTTCTCTCTTAACTTTGGTCTATGTTACTTCGTCATGCTGTACTACTACTTTTCCTACATGATAAACCCTACCTACAGTGTGTTTGATGCTCTCAGTAGAGGCGACTTGATCAAAGAAACTTACATTCTAGGATGGTTTTACTACGCCACTTTTCTGAGTTCCTCGATAAACCCTGTTATACACTTTTCGTGTAACAGCAAGATGCGAGTTGGGGCAAAGAGTTTGTTTAGATGCTTGAGAAATAAGCTTGCAAGATTTAGTGGAACTAATTGAATGTTATAGAGTATGGTTTTTCCTTTCTTTGATTTTTATGATTTTTCGAGTATCTGAATTTGGTTACTTGCTGTACTGAGCGATTCTTTTATTATATTATAACAATAGATTTTCATTTAACGAAATTTTCAGTAAAACTTAAGCTTCGAAATTCAATTATTTTATACAAAATACGAAGCTTCAATTTCAAAATAACAGATACCAATAATCATATAACCGAACTGAAAACGATCAAATGGTATAATCCGTGCGCCCAAAGCTTAATACTTTAATACATCAGGCAGAAAGAACAAAAAATATTTTATCTAGTAATTAAGAAAATAAAGATAGCATGGTAAAGGAGGGAAAATTCACCAACATTTAATCGAGGGAGATTATCGGATATAGGTTATCAACTTTAACATCACTTGCGATATTCAAAAATAGTAGTTTCATTAAGCAAATGGTAGTCATCACACCCCTTAAACGTAGATAAGGGCCTCCCGGCGAAAATGTGCTCTATAATCCATGATCACGTGATATTTACACAACTTTGACTATTTCGCAACCGAACATGGTTGATTTACATTTTTATGAAACAATAAATGCCAGGTGATCAGAGATATGCGCGGGACATGCTCCACCCTGAGGCCCATCACTACTAGGGCCTAGAAAAAAAAATGGCAATATTATGGCAGCGTATAGCTGATAACATGGAAATTAAAATGATTCTCCCCGACCACCTGCATCACTCAATTCTGACTTAATCAAACAAATCTTAGTTTAGTCAAACTGTCGAGGCATCGTCCAAAACAATAATTTAGTCCAGGTCAGTATTTTCTGAAACAGTTCTCGTAGCTTCTGAGGTATCCATATCTGCAGGAGGAGGTCCAAAGAGAGACTGCATAAGACCGCCTGAAAGGAACAATTTGTTATTCTCATACAGCGGAAAACAATTGTAAGGTACGTCGTACGATAGACCATACTGAGTTACAAATTTTATACTGAAGATGTAGTTGGGAACTAATTTAAATTATATGCTAATTTAAATTTGATGCCATCATCGATGAATTAAGGTCCACATGACACGTCAATACCCTCGCTTGAAAGGGCTAGTAAAAGTTTCGTAAAATAGAAGGATTAAATTATATTGTCCAGCGTGCTTCAGTGCCGACATTGATTGAGGATGTCGATCAGTTCCAGTTCGTAGCCTAGCAACGATCTCGTCAAGGTTGCCGGGTTGCGAGAGACATTATTTCATGCGCGGCGTCCACGCAGTCGCGCTGCGCTATACGCAAGGGCAGACCCATATCAATTTCACTAGTTTACCGGTAACTAATGTAAAAGATGCACGTATATTGTAGGTATGTACACATGCAATACATACGTCATAAAAGTCACGTGATAATGCGCGATAAACGTACTTTATTTCTTTTAAACACGCCGCGCCTTACATAGCTGTCACAATTTCACTGTTACCGATTTTTAATCAAAATTCTCTAAATTGGTCCATCATTGATTACAATTCTGAAATGCAATACTTTTCAAATCTGAAATCCAACACTTACCAAGTCCTCCCATACATGGTCCAGCTGAGGTTGATTCTTTGAAATATACCCATAATATCTTATCTATACACTGAAATAGAAACTGAGTTGATCAAAAATTAAAGATTGATTTCCTTTAAAAGTGTTATGTTTCAACAAAACACTGAAATATTTATATGTCTAATAACCGATATTAATAACTAACGACCCAGAAATAAATAAGTTAACCTCATTAAAGCAGGGATCTCGTTCTAGAGACTTCTTGTATTTATCTTTTAAAAGCTTGACCAGCTGCGGACTCTGCTTATCTATGGCGGATATAAAGAACTGTATAAAGTTAAGGAGTGGTTCTTGAAAGGGAAATGGTGAGGTCAGTTGGGGGTGACCGGAGGTGTACAGCTTGAACACTCTTCTTGCGTGCTCCGTGCGTTTTAGCGTTAAAAACCTGGTGTAATTCTTAATTACAGAAGTAATAATTGATCTTACAGAATACAGATCTTATACAATAAATAGAACGTACTAATGACATTGCAATCTTGTTAAGTGATAAGCAATTCATTGCATTCCCCCACCCGGAAATGAGAACTCACTGTAATACTGCCCATGTTATTATCAAACCCAACTCCGATCTCAGCGACCTGTATCTCGACACTTCGATCAGGGTTTGGGAGTAAAACTCAACCCCGTCCAAATCCAGGTACTGACAGTGTGTACAGCACGTGGCATAGTCTGTCTCTGAAACACAAGGAAATGTTTTGGAGGAAAGAACATTAAAAAAGGAAACATAACTCGAGGAGAAAACACACTTTTAAAAGATACATTTCATGATGACAGTTATGACACCTAGCCTTTGGATTCGTTGATTCACAATTAAACTTCTCGATTCATGAAAATTTGATTTGCTGTAAATACAACAGGCGCCAAAAATTGTGCCTCTAAAGTTCTAGCTTATAGTCTAACTCGATTGTAATTTCAAGCTTAACGCGGCACAGTGCATATCTATCAGCTGATCCAATTATAAGTACATTGATAAAACATTACACAATACAACTTATTTGAACAAATCAAATTAACTAACACATTTATAATGATTATGATGAAACATTACATAATGTACCCGACGTTTTAACTAATTACTTATATAAATTATAATAACCTAAATACACACTCTTACCTAGCAAGTACATTTCTGCACACGCTCTGTGGATTCTGGGGTCTCCATGCTCCGTGTACATTTTGGACCACCTGGGAGAGGACGTTTCATTTGTGCCAACAATTCTGAATTTTCCTATACTGTTCCCGGCATGTTACCCGTGTTACATTTTATTGTGTTATATAACTAAAACCATTAATAGTGTTAAAAATGTAACATGATTATTCTCATCAGTTTCTGACAGAAGCTGAATTGCAGCTGCAGAGAGCCAAAAAAACTAAATATTGGTCTAAATTAGCATTTGAAATTTAAAGAAAACATACTTGAAAACTTTGGGAATGAAACGTTGTCTTCCGTCACTGTTCTTACCAAACTTTCTAATTATCTCAATAAGTTTGTCGTTCAGTCGAGCTGAAGAGTTACAGTAAAATAAACAAATAAATCGTATCCTCTACTAGGTGACTTCTCAATGAAAGCGATATCATCAAATGTACAGATTCCTTCTTGACCTTTTCTAAACTTGGAGTTTTATCATGGTGCTAGTTCTAACCTACCCCGCAGTATAATATCTGTGGTTAATATCTCACAAATAACTCAACATCATCATGACAAACATCGTTCATATATATTGCTAATCTGAACTATAAAACGACTGCCATACTGGTCGTAAGAACAAATACCACTCAATAATAACGCCATTTTAATAATATAATAGGAAGCACACGACGTTTAAACAAGATAGCTGAAGCGTGGTACCTGAAGGTGAAGTGTGATTAGTAAGGAGGTGATCTCCCAACATGATGCTCAGCTTGGTGCCGTTATCTTCCTGGCCATGTGCCAGGAACAGCAGTGTACCAGACTCTAACAGTCTCAACCCATCAGCCAACTTTCTCTCACCCATTAGCCTGGTGTGGTGGTATACTGTTATGGTGGGCCAGAATTAACGTTATGTTATACTGATTATTTAAAGGTTTATGATAGTTCCATATAGTAGAATAGCTTGGAAAATAATTTATCATTAAATCTACAACTAATAGATGTGGATACTGGTGGGGAGCTGAAACACATTTGTTTACGTTTTAGTGGCGCCTCTATTCAGCAGGTTGAAGAGGTGATACACATTTGTTTACGTTTTAAGTGGCGCCTCTATTCAGCAGGTTGAAGAGGTGATACACGTAAAACGTAAACAAATGTGTATCACCTCTTCAACCTGCTGAATAGAGGCGCCACTAAAACGTAAACAAATGTGTTTCACCTCCCCACCACTCCACCAGTATCCACATCTATAGATTCGCTCTGCTAAAATATTTTCGTAAAAATTAGGAAAACTCGCAGGCTTGATTGCGTCACTACTACACTGCAACTGCTGAACAAACTTTCTCTTAATTTCCATTCAGATATTAAAGTGGTTCATTAAACTTCGCAACAATCCCGATTATATTATCACGTTTATCACGTAATACGGGAGAAAAATACCCGAAAGTCAAAAGTTCGACCTTTACAGTCAGCTCAAAATAACACACATATAATAATGTTATAAGCCACATGGTACATAGAGCAGTCAATATAACGTAAAGATATATTAATTGTCTCAAGTTTCAAATTCTTGTTCACACTATAACTTAACCAGTTAACCGTAGCCTCGATTTGTCAGCTTACTTTAAAATGTGTACTTTTATTTCCCTATCTTAAACGTATTTTATAACGGTTACATCCAATTAATTTTGTCGGCCATCTTTTGTGTATTATGTGGTATCAAGACCTTAAATTAAAATAGACGTATTTTCCCTAGTTGGTTCATGGGAGGTGTATCAAGCAGTGTTTCTTCGAGTTCAGCAGAATGTTTTGTGAATCTTAAATTTAAAGGGAATGCAATCCTTTTGCACAAATACGGGCTTCTGAAAGGGGTAAGAAAAGATTATATGGGCAATTTCATGAAACATGAACAAGGAGGGAAAAAAATAAATTTCAGTTATGGCACTAGCTTTGATTGGAGTCTGAAAGAGAAGATTATAAACTGTTAGACACAAAAAACCGCTTATAAATATCTCACTTCGTTTCTGTGTTATCGCGTTTTCAAAATACCCATAAATTGTCATGTTTTACAGGCTAAAACTACTCTATAATAAAAGCTGTTTACTAAAAAGAGATTGTTGTAATATTCATTAATTCTTGATCTGTAAAGGTGCATACCACTTCACTGAAGCTGTATGCAAAATTTGGGACTCAAAATTTAAGCAGATTCGGAGCAATGCTATTCTACTTTCTCCTGTTTTTAGTGTAAATTACTATACATAAAAAACAAAAAAGTTTTCTGCTGGCCACATTTCATGTTATTTCTTGCTGAAATCTTGCTAAAACAAGCTAACTCTGATGTCAAGACATAATGTACTTGTTTATTTAGATCCATAGATATCAGATCATGTCAATACCAGCGTCAAGTAAGTTACATGTCAAGTAATTTACGTGTCAAGTAATTTACACATATGCTTTTTATTCAGTAATAGTAGTAAAACACAACAAGTAACGATTGTCAAACAGAATAAAAGTTACTCTGCTAAAATATTTTCGTAAAAATTAAGAAAACTCGCAGGCTTATTACATCATACGTATATCTTAATTCAGTGACAGTAAGTATTATAATTATTTTAACTATGTGTACAGATTATATTATTTCAGTTAGTATTGACATGAATGTTACGATTTCAGTTTATTTATATATTATATTGGCAATAAACCGGTTTCAAAGCCCTTAAGGGTGGCCCTCGGGTCTTTAAAACAAAAAATATTAAGTAATACGGGAGAAAAATACCCGAAAGTCAAAAGTTCGACCTTTACAGTCAGCTCAAAATAACACACATATAATGTTATAAGCCACATGGTACATAGAGCAGTCAATATAACGTAAAGATATATTAATTGTCTCAAGTTTCAAATTCTTGTTCACACTATAACTTAACCAGTTAACTGTAGCCTCGATTTGTCAGCTTACTTTAAAATGTGTACTTTTATTTCTCAATCTTAAACGTATTTTATAACGGTTACATCCAATTAATTTTGTCGGCCATCTTTTGTGTATTATGTGGTATCAAGACCTTAAATTAAAATAGACGTATTTTCCCTAGTTGGTTCATGGGAGGTGTATCAAGCAGTGTTTCTTCGAGTTCAGCAGAATGTTTTGTGAATCTTAAATTTAAAGGGAATGCAATCCTTTTGCACAAATACGGGCTTCTGAAAGGGGTAAGAAAAGATTCATATATAGAAGAAGAAATTCTCAATTCAACGAAAACGAGAATCGAGCTTTGGAAAGTTCCTCTTTGTGAGTTGTTGCCAAGTCACCTTGGTATATTCTACCACGCATACTTGGTTCTTGAAACCAAAAGACTGCTGGAAGGAGAAAAAATACCCAAAGACGGACCATTGGTCACTCGAGAAAAACACAAAACAGATAATTCTTCAACTGAGCTACGGAAGGAGTAATGTGGTTGAGATGTTTGGTTCGAAGAGGAGACTGTTTGGAAACTACTGGAAACCTCAAAAATTAGACGAATACACTTTTGATTGTAAAATGGAAATGAGCAAAATATTCTCTCATTACTTGAAGAGTGGACACGGTAGATTGTACGACCTGCTTAAAAGCAACTGCAAGCACTTTGCTCAAGACATTTTCAATGCGATAAGCAGAGATTTTAAACGAGATTCCTTGGAAGCCTGCACTTTTAAATCATACACTTTCAAAAACGTAAAAGAGCTGTTCTTGAACACGAAGAATGAAATATTAAATTATTATATAATATACATCTGGAAATCATTCGGTTTTGCTATCTAAACAGCTTATTCCTCACTGCTTATTTGTCTTCGTTCATCACATATTTATGGTTGACAACCCAATAGAATAGAAGTTCCCTGACCTGTTATAAATACTGTTGTACATCTGGAAAGCCTCGTAGTAACTGCCATTCTGAACGTTTCTCTCTAGCTTTTCCAGTATGCGATCAATTCCACCAGTTTGCCTCCGCCGAGACATTGCTGCACAATGTTCAAATATTAGTTTTGTGCGATGATTTTTTTAATACAATATTTTTGACCGAATTATATTAGTGAAATATGAATTTTTATACTTCATTTGGAAAAGTTTAAAATATTATATTATTTAGATGAGAGACAGATTAATTGTTGCTCTATTTCAGAAATATTTGTGTTTCCTGCATCTACTCATCAAATTCAATAACTCCAGAGTTCACTTCCAGATAATACAACATCTTATAATTATAGATATTTAGTGGAGACTTAACTGTACAAGGGACATGGACAGTAAGCAAATCATGTCAACACTTTGTTGACTGGAAACAAATAAACTCTACTAACTTATTTATCTCGGTTTATAATTATACCTAAAACAATTCTCAAATATATAAAACTTTACAAAGCGATTCCGCGACCAATTCGAGCATCAACCAGTGATGAATTGGTTGCTAAGAATCTGATAAAATCTTGGCTTGATCGCAAAAGACCTATATCAATCCCAATATACCGAATTGACCTAATGACAATTAATTAAGTTTATCTGTTAAAAGATTCTCCTCCTACATAAAAGGTGACATAAAATTACAAAAAGATTTAACCAATGGTGATCAGAGCAAGGAGCTATGAAGTAATGAGAATTCCAAGGGGTATAGGACACGAGAGCGTAGGACACAAGGGCGGTGGGCGCAAGAGCGGAGGACACGAGAGCGTAGGACACAAGGGCGTTACTTTCCTAAAAGGGTGGACACAATTACAAGGGCAAATCACATGATTCATTTTAGTAAGACACGAAGGCGGAACAAAAACCGTCCTGAATGATGGTCGTTTTAACTGAGAGGATTGATGGTTTGAAATTGAGTGAACACACCTCAGTGAAATTCGTCTACCCAAAGTAAATACCCGTTTTGGTACGTACTACCCCTGATCTAAACCCGGGTAACCGTAGCGTCAGCCACTGCGATATTTTGAAGGCCAAGTTTGTCACATGAACATCTAGGCAGTGTTTGATTGGTCTACTTAGCACGTTTTCAAACCCCAAAATCTGCTGAGTTGGCTGAGATATTTAAGAAAAATCTCTCAATTTTTGGCTCGTTTAAATCTGGGTGATTATTTGTCACATCACTATGTTTTGTTTCAAATTTACACGTGAGTAGACCCAATTCTTCGAGCTAAGCTTTACCTCAACCAGACTGTTGAGAACATCAAAAAACCCATTTGTCCATGTTAAAGTGATTCATGTGATACGCCCTCGTGTCCACCCTTTTAAGAAAGTACCGACCTTGTGTCCTACGCCCTCGTGCCCTCCACTATTGTGTCTACCGCCTTTGTGCTCTCCACCCTCGTGTCCGGTTCCCAATTCCAAGATGTGTCAAGCCTCATTATTTGAGAAAGAAAAAAAACTTTCAACAAATTCAACATTTGAAAAATAGTAAAACAGGTCAAACCAACAAGCTTAAGGCATAACAAGACATTATCTCCTATCATTAAATACCCTAAAAATAAATCACTAAAACCCTTAGCTAGACGGAAATCATTCCTGATAACCTAATAACAGACTCCTAGCCTCCTCCACAAAACAGTTCCTGTCCACCAGCTTCTCTTCTTTAGAGACAGTGTGACGGAGCTTCACTTTCCCTTCCTCCAGTTCGGACTCTCCGATAATAGCGACCAGCGGTATTCCTGGGGATATAGGGGCTCAGGTTAGTATTTGTTGTTAAATATTTAGTTCAGTTACAATTGTTAACTCTTGTGGAATCGCGTCGTATCGTCATTTGAGGGGAAAAGAGCAGGATTCTGATATAGGCTGGAGGCGAAATAATCAGATTTTTTTATACATTGGGATGCGACTTTCTAATAATAAAATAGCTTGTTGCGATTAACGTTTATCGTGGACTAAAAGAGTAAGATTGCACATACAATTTTAGTACATTGAACAATTAATATATTCGAGAACAAAGCAATAGCTTGGGCCCTTACTTTCAGTCTCAGCATATTGGAACTGTGTAAGAAGTTTAGGGTTAGCCTTGTAAAGCATCTCAGCGTTAACATCGTTCTCCCACAACATGTTTAGTAGCTTCATCCGTTCCCGCATCATGCCTTTCTGTCCTGATGCTACTAAAACCTGGAAATTGATCAGCTTACATTACAAGTTACAATTGAGTTTTGCCCTGAAATTTTTAACACAGATTCATAGGCTGTATTTCCCTGACAACTGATAGGATTCTGAGAGTTCTTGATAGTAAGTAGTGACAAAGAAACGGTACTCCCTTCTCGTGTTACCTTATTTGGCAGTTAATCTTAATCGACATTAATACCTTAATAATAAGCGTCATGAGTCTAACATTGTCATAGGCTTAAAATCTAGTGTCCACACTCCACTGTGATCTAAATTTACTTTCACTACATTATGATATTTTATTGAAACATCAAACATTTAGTGTATTAAACGTTGAAAATCAGACAATGTGATTGTGAGTTAAGAAATCTACAGAAAAACGTGTTTATTTATATTGGATAGTTTGTCAGAATCGCCAGATACGACTAGATTTCTAGATACAAACAGTGTATTTGTTTCTAAGTTTGCAGAAAATAATCGCCTCAATAACAGCCCACTTTCTTGTTCGGACTCACACCATCAGAAACTTGAACAACATTAAAACCAAACATAGTTACATACCTGAATTGAGCTGGTCCTGCATTGTTGCATCCTTCTTCTCCATGATAGAGAAGAGCCGCTCAATTCCAATACTGACACCCACACAGGGAATACTGCGTCCCTTGGGAGCGAACATGCCAACCAGCTCATCGTACCGTCCACCCCCTGCAACCGAGCCAACACCCTCTCCTCTCCCCTCTGATGTTGAGGTGGGGTTATTGTGTGAAGACGTGTTTTAACTGTAATTATTAAATAGAGATAGTTTGAGCACTAATTGCTTGAACGGACCTGATACTGGGTGGGTCTGAATTGCTTGAAAACATTCCCCGATAGGATGCAAATCACAAGGTTTGCAATGATTATGCAAGGTGTATCTCCTAAAATCAGGAGGTAGGGGAAACGTGAAAAAGAGCGAACCTGGAGCCAGAATAGCTTCGAAGATGGTGCCAGTGTAGTAGTCAAGTCCTCTAGCCAAACTCAGATCAAAGGATACGTGATCCAGACATCCGAATAGTTGGCAGTATTCTAGAAGAAGTCTCATGTCGGACAAACCGGCCTGGAAACATGGAATTAGCAAACATAATCTGGTTATGTGTATCGTGAGATTAGATCACGGCTGACATCCAAAGTGAGACATCAATGACATGAATAACGAAACAGAATATTATTTACTAGAGAGACGACACTTACAGCTGCATTTTTGTTTGCGCCCAAATCTGATTTCTCAAGTTCTTCAATCAGATCGAACTGGCCCTTTTTCTGTACAAGAACACCGATTTTGTCGGCTATGGCTGAATCTAGACCTTTTACTTCTACCATTTCCTAGAAAGAAAGGAAGTTTTTAACGAGTGGTTTTAGTGTTCTATTTTCCCTGACATATCATGACGTACAGTATACACTTTTAGATAACTTTTAACGTGTTTTTGGAGCATCCTTTTTTAGTGAAACATGCCATAAAGCATCGAAATTTTAAAATACATTTAAATTTGTGATTTACGTCAATTACCTTTTTGACGTCTTCCCAGGACTCTTTGTCAAGTTTATCGACAGCACTGCAGATAGGTCTAAAATCCTCTTGTGGAACCCCACAGTACTCAAAGATACCGTCCAGAATCTTCCGGTGATTCACCTGAGTGGACAGATCTTTTCGTAAAAAATTCGAAATAACTCGAAATAACTCGAAAATATTCGAAATATTCAGATATCTCCAAAAAGAATAAACAAAAGCGATATTGTGGTCGTTACCTTGACAGTGAAGTTTTTCATGTCCAATTCATTGAGGATATCGCACACTAGTTTAACGCATTCTGAGTCGGTAATCATTGGTTCATACTCTCCGGCGAAGTCTATATCGCACTGGGAGATGAGCAAGGAATCAGTTAGACAGTTTTAAGGCAGTACATTAGCTATTTTTATTAAAACTAGCGAGTCACTTAATTCGTTGATTTATAAGAGATTAATTAATTGGATTATTTGATTTGTCAGTGCAAATGAGAAATGGGATTTAGTGAGATTATGTTGTATGGCAGGAGAAGGGTACCTGATAAAATTCACGGTATCTTCCCTTAGTCATGGCGGGGTTATCTCTTCTGTATACTCTAGCTATCTGGTATCTTTTGATGTTCTTTATCTTTTTCATCGCAACAAATCTAGGGATAGTAATTATCAGTAAAAGATTGCAGTGTGATAATTAGTAATTATCACACTAATTAATCAGTAATTATTAATTAAAAGAGAGTAATCCATGAGTTTATTATCAGTGATTTAAGATTTAAGTACTCAAGCCATGACAAAGAGTACAGTTTCACCAACTTACCTAGCAAAGGGCACAGTAAGATCGTATCTTAGAGCCAGTATTTCCCCTCCCTGGTCTTCAAGTTCGTATATTAGCTTGCTGTCTTCTCCATACTTGCCTGGTGCACTTTACATAGTTACCATGGACAGCAACTAGCACAGAGTCCGTGTAAGTACTAAGCATTTAGCGTTCATATTACATAAGAGATTTGATATATGCAACATATTTTCCTGAACTCAGAGGAGATCAGAATGTTGAGAGAAGGTGTTGAATTTTCAACACTTTTTGGGTTAATTGTGAATTATAGACATGATGATCTTGTCACAGCTTTCAAGATTTACCTGTTAGAATCTCTTTGAGCTCCATAACAGGTGTATCAATCTGGACAGCACCGTGTTTCTTGAAACATTTCTTGATCTTTTCAAAAACTAGCTCTCTCACCGCCATCTGCAATAAGGCCAAGGGTTATTTCTTATTATTATTTTATATACAATATTAGTTACTCATATCTCTTGTACAGACTGTTCTACAAGGACATTGACAGATGATACTCATATTAGGCATTCATTATTGCATCTAAATTATTTCACTTGCATTAGGTTTAGAAATTTATTCTCTGGTTAACAGATTTCAAATGTTTAATTAATTTGTAGTATGACAGTATATAAGATGTTATTTAATTTTGCTTGGGCTGTTGTGTTGACTGTTGGGGTTTAGTGGTGGTATGGAATTTGAATTTTATATAAATTTACACTATGAGGTTGGGGCATTTTGCATAGTAAATATGGTTACTACTCCTATATATCATATTATTTGATTGGTATTCGATTTCTGATTATTTCCCTAGGAATATGATTATTATATCTCAATTTGGCTTTAGGTAGGGTGCCCCGCTAAAAGAACTGGATTCTTCCAGGAAGCATCCCGTGCACAGAGCTTGGTCTACATATATATTAAATTATTAACCATTCATTCTGTATGTGCACGAAAATTTATTTCAACCAATATGTGCGAACAAATCAAACATAGATAGCATTATAAATATTATAATAAAATAGTCGATCTTACAAATAATCAAGGCGCTAAAAAATTGGTTAATGTGCTATCCCAACCTGATCTCCGGTGTAATCTCTCATGCCTTTTGGACATTTCAAAGCCATTTTCCCACCCTTCTGTTTGCTACCAGGTTTTGAGTCAGCACATGGTTTATTGGAACGGGGCTCCTTGATGTTTAATTTCTGCAGCTCGTCCGCAGTATTATCTCTAAGGGAAATAAAATTATATAAATAAAAGTCTTGTTAACAGGACTGATAAAGCTTTTCAAGTAGGTTCATGATCATGATTCAATAGACGTTGAGTAATGCTGACTTGTAGTATATATATTTGAAAATGGTGTTTGAAGGTTTTGTTATGATTTTGTTGGCCATATTTTCATAATTGCCAATTTTTGGATGTACTCACGTTATGTTTGAGGTCATTCTGTAAACTTGTTTTACACACTGAAATAAAATGCGATAAATAAAAGTGAAATATCAATTTAGTGTGCAATGATAGGATCTGTTATAGCCTTGGTTAATTTACATTTCATACATTATAATTTACTTTGGTTATTCCTAACATAACGACCAATAACAGGGAGGGAATGATTTTAAGCGGCAGCCGGCAACAGTCCAAGTAGTATGCATGACATACATACATGTAGGCCGTAAGGTGATCACTTATCCTCTCAGAAGAGAGGTGTGGCCGCAAGTTTCCTTTTTATGCTGGTTAATTAACAGAGGTAAGAATTTGATGGTTGATATGCAGTCCTGATACTTAATTGATGTATACTGTACTGATATACAAATTATATATGTGCGTTTAAATTTGACACAGGAGGAACTGGCAACAGCTTTAAATTGAAGCCCATTCCAAAGCTACAGTCGTTTCAAGTTTTCGATGGAATGAATCAGATACATCTTATATATATATATATATATATTGATATTGTCGAGATTTCACTAACACAAGAAACATATTAGTTCACAAATAACAAAACAGTTTATTATATAAGGACTCCGTGCATTGCGTTATATCCATTCTTACCTCACTGGACACATCAGGGTTCAAATTTGATACAATAGATTCTTTCTTCTCGCTTGAGTTTGTGGGGAAAGCTATCGTCTGTTTACACTTCTCATTTTCAATAGCTTGTTGTAGGTGAGATATCTGTTGTTTGAGCTTATTGTTTTGTGTTTCAAGCTCTGCAATTTCAGGATCAATCTTTGAGGATTGCTCCAAGTCTTCTATTTCATGACGGAGTTTCAATATTTCTTTTTCCACACTCTCTGTATGTGCCAGCATATTAGCCTGCATGCTGATAGAGGCTACAAGCAAGTAAAGAAATTAGATTGCTTTAAGAGTCTGGCAAGAATAATTTAACCTTCTCAAATGTCTTGTAATATAGTAGTGATGAAAGTATTAACACAATGCCTAAGTGTGTATCAGAATTTCTTTGCCTGAGGCTGCAGAACAAGGGGTGTGACTCCTCACTGAAAACCTCGATCATAGTTTCTTGATCTATCAGATGAGTAAACTGCAGGGGCAACATAAAACCACTAGGGCCTCCAGGTTATCCAATTGATGGTCTTGAAGGCTTACCAGCAAACAGCCATTATACCACCAAATCTTATTTGAAAGGTGAGCTATATTGGCTGCAACACAAAACATTTGTATTGATTCAAGGGTTTGATTATACACAGCTTTGATTAAACAATAGCTTGTACCATGATACCCTCATCACAATTAACCACATCAGTCAGAAAAGAATATGGGCACACAGCTACAGTGTAAATGCACTTTCGGATACATTGTGGTATTTTTTATTATGTTTAATTCAAATTTGATTCAATGAGACTCCAGCACAGAATCCAATTTCCTTTTCCAGAATGTCGAGCATACATTGTGGTAATATGTTAATCATACAATGAGCAGTAGCAACTCAACACTACACTGCAAAAATCTTACAAAATAACAGCTTACCGGTTGTCTGAAGACTGCTCTAGCAAATGCCAACATTCATTAGTGAAACAAATTTTTTTTAGTGAAACAAATTTAAAATTTTATCCTTTATTTTACAATCATAATATAATAATATTTATAAGCCTCCGTTTTGAAAGTTTTAAATTTTAATATATTCACATTTCTATTTAAAATCCAATTTAATGTATAAGTCAATAACTGGCCGCCAAAGCCGCGCATTCTTAAAAACAGGATTAAATTGTTTATGATTATACGACAAATAGAAATAAATTTAAACTATCCGTGGTTTTTTTGAATGAATTATAATCTTACCTAAATCCAAAGCCAGCTTTGTAAAATTTACTATTAGATCATAATATATCGTCAATTCTCAATATTTACAATGCAACATTTCATTAATCTACATACAAGCGTACTCCAGCCCCTGCACGCATCCGTTCTGATGCGGCGCGGCTCAAGCCGCGCACGCACGTATTATTTTATACTTTTTGCTTTCTAATAAATATCGTGTCAATGTGTACGTCTAAATGTTCATGTTTTGTGTAAACCGAATCCAATTGAGATTAGTGACAAGGATAAGGACCCAAGTGCCTGTACGGCTTTTTCGGGCCCCTGTGGACCACTACTCTTGAAATCGCTCTACAACTAGTGAACATTTATAACTGTTATATAATATATAACGTCATTTGACAATTATTATCATTAATCTACAATCTAACTGTCTTGCTGAGGGGGAGGAGTAAACGCTTCACAAACTAAAATATAATACTTACAACATACAAAATTTAAAACCATCAACACGGTTATAGTTAATATCAAGGGCCAATTTGGTATACCGCTATTTCGTTGTAATATCTAGTATATCTTTACATTTTAATACAATAATGAAATACAATAGGATACATGTTTCGAGAAAGAAAGGTTGATCCGATTATTAACAAAAGTAAACAAAAGTCCATCAGGAACTCCACGGAGTCGAAAAAGGTACACGGCTGCTGTCTGGTGCTGCTAGGCATTTATTGATCAAGATGTTTTATTGTATTGGTTTTTGATGATTCTATTGTTCGTGACTAATCAAGTTCTAAGTGGGGGGTATAAAGTGCTGCTTAAGATAATTCGTCATCTCATGTCCAGTATAATGAATAAGATAGTAAACAATACAGTTTCAGTAGTTGACCCATACAGTTAAGTCCGTCATAACTCACAATTGTTTAATCGTCTGTCAATTGTCAGAGTCGTTGTGTGTTTAGTCGCTGAGTTAGCAGTAAGATAAGTTGTTACGCGCGCGCGCGTTTAATCCCGTCGACGTGAGATGTGACAATGGAAACCCTACAGAATTATTGTTTTCGCGCGTTACGTAGAATTTACTAGTGTGTAATACTGGTTAATACTGGGTGTACACTGAGTGTAAGTCGCTAAGTTTCATATACGAGCCGTTGAATATTTCCAATTTTGAGTGTATCGTGAGCATGTTTTGCAGTGCAATTGTTCGGTACTAGTGTGTTTGTGTGTATATATATATATATATCATCTGTGGAGTATGGTGTGTGGACTGTGGTAAATAATGTGTTTAGTTGGAGTGCAGTGGTTGCATGTATGAGGAAATATAAGTGGTTATTTTAGTAAATCACATTAATCAAAACTTGAGCTCATTTGTGGCAAAATTAAGCTCACACCAATCAAGTGTATCATGCTTGAATTGCAATTCTTGTAAAGCAATTTTCAATGTATTCTTAAACCCGTTTGTCGGAGTATTAAAACTTATCTTACTTGATGTTTGTCGACAGCTGTTCCACATGTAGGATGATTGGTAGATGAACTGTGAGGATGGTTGTGATGTGATGAAATAATTCTCTCGTCGTGGTGACCTGTTGAATGATGAGTACAGTGATAATGGTTCCTCTAACTTATTAATTTTGAATAGTTCTAAGAGACAAGTGTACTTATACAGGTTGTGAACAGTTAACAATTTCTGATTCTTAAACAAGGGCTTAGAGTGTTCTTTTTTGTAAAAATTCACACCTAGTTTTTGCTCACCAAATGGTCGTGTCCGGGCACAAGTTCTAAATTTTTCTAAGTAAGCTTCTTTATCCCCAAATAAAATTCTTATACACTTTTTCTGTGTTTTAAAGAGAGGTTCGAGTCGGTTGTTGCTAATACCACCCCATACAGATATTCCAAATCCCAAATGTGATTCGAATAAAGTATGATATAAATCCTTATAATACTGTTTAGGGACAATGTGTCGTATTCTGCATAACTTACCTACTTCACATTTAAGTTTTGAGTTAAGTGACCGTGTGTGAGTTTTCCAATTAAGTTGATCATCGATAATGACACCTAGAAATTTAGCTTCTCGGACTTTTTTAATGACAACATTGTTCAAAGTTAATATGTTCTCGTCATTTTCTACTTCCTCTTTGGCACGTGACGGTCTAAAGTGGATAAAACAGCATTTCTTAATGTTAATATGTAATAAGTTTAGTTTCATATACTTATAAACAGATGCTAAAACTTCATTTCCCTTTTCGTACAGTCTTCTGACACATGTTTCTTCAATAAATATGTTAGTGTCATCGGCAAATAGTATAAACGTTCCTAAAATTGATGAGTTTCGGATGTCATTTATATAGATGATAAACAGCAAGGGACCTAAACAGGACCCTTGGGGCACTCCGTAGACAACGGGCAGTTTCTCAGAGTCTTCACCTAATACTGAGACATACTGGTATCTATTCGACAGGTAACTTGCTATAAGGTTGTTTGCATTTCCACGGATCCCATAATTTTCTAACTTATGCAGTAACTTTTCATGTGAGATTGTATCAAAAGCTTTGCTAAGATCAATAAATATTCCAAGTACGTGTTGTTTTTTCTTGAGACGTGATTCTATGTGGTTAACTGAGTAATTTAAAGCATAACTAGTCGAATGATTTTTACGGAATCCGTACTGGTTTTCATACAAGGAATTCTGTGAATGAAAGAAGCTATATAATCTGTTGAATATAATTTTTTCAAATATTTTACCAAATACTGCAAGTGTCGACACAGGTCTATAATTTTCAAGGAGTTCCTGGTTATCTTTCTTGTAAATTGGACTAATCCTTCCAATCTTAAGGTCATCTGGGAATATGCCATCTTTCATACATTCATTGTACAGTACAGTAAGTAGAGGAGTCACTATTTTTGAAGACTGTTTTACAACATGAATTGGTATATCACTTGCCTTACCGTTCTTAAGTTCAGATATGATTTTGCTAACCTCGTCTGTTGTGCAGTCATGCATGTAAATACTGGAGGTGTTTGAGAGCGGTAAATAGTCATAGAAACTAGGTAGATTATTTATGTTCATTTGACCAAGTTCATTGTAAGCAGTATTTAGGTCAGAGGCCAATGATACGAAATACTTATTGAATTCGTTTGCTATGATCCTCCTGTTTGTTATCTTAACGTTGTCTATGGTGAACAGCGGCTTTATTTCACGCCGCCGTTTTCCTCTTATACTATTTATTAGTTCCCAGGTCTTTTTACTATTCCCGCTATTTTCTGCAAATTTACCAGAGAAGTAATCTGTTTTCACAGTTTGACGTGTTTTCTTTAGGACTTTTCTGTATTCTTTGTAGATAAGGTAGCGACTACGTTTTAGTGAGCATTCGGGGCACTGGCAAATCCCGCCCTTGTTATCAGTTTCACCGAGTTTACATTTTCTATTTCTTATCTCAACCCAATTTTCGTACAGTTTATGCTGATTATTAATTGAGCAAATGAGACCGGGAGTTATCCAAGGGTTAACCTTAACAGTTCTCTTAGAGGTTTTCGGGGTTTCTAGTTTAAACGATTTTTCGATGCAGTTTTTGTAAGTGTCATGGAATTCAGTAAAGTTATGGATTATTTTAGTTTTAAGCTCATCTTCAAGATCCACTAGGAAGCCGTTAACATTTGATTGACAGAAATCGTAATACTGTTTAATAGGAGTTTTTCCAGAGTTGACTTCAACATTCCAGTTAAATGTGTTAAAAATAGGCGAGTGGTGAGTTATTCGTTCTTTTAGGGTGCCTGAAGTAATAACATTCTCAATGTCGTTGGTAATTATGTTGTCTATGCAAGATGCTTTACAGCCTGGTTTTTCGTGAGTAGCAATAGATATTAACGGACAAAATCCTTTACTGAACAAAATTTCTTCATATTTTTGTACATTTTTGTTATCTTTATCATGAAGATCGATATTAAAGTCTCCAGCTAGATAACTGAACTTCGGCATGTGATCAAGAAGGTTAGAAAGTTCAACTAGAGCTTGGGAAATACAGCCACTTGGTGGACGATACAAAACACCTACATTAACAGGTTGATCTTCGTTACTTAATGATAAGACAAGTATTTCTAAATGTTCTGTGACTTGTGATATATTTTCAATTACTGTAGCATTTAATCTATCGTCAACATAAAGGGCTACTCCAGTGCCCTTTTGTTTGTTAGGTGCTGTGTCCTGATAGTAACTATTATAACCGTCGAGCTGAAATAGATTGCTTAATTCTTTCCCAGTGTTGGTTTCAGCTAGGGCTATTACGGAGAATTTTGTTTTGTACCTACAGGTTTCAATGGCAAGGTTGTCAAAATTTGATTTATTTCCATCAATATTTTGAAAGAGAATAGATGATTGTTTCTTTACTTGGTTGCAGAGAATATTGGTAAGGTCAGATGCAGTGTATGAGTTACAATTATTTAAAGTATTCGAGATTTTGGTTGTGTATTCGTCTAGGTTGTTGTCGTCGTCGTCATTGTCAGTGAGTAGTTTAAATGGGTTATATTTAACCTTGTCTAAATGGATACAACGAGTACAGTAAAACTCATTAGATTGGCTATTTGTATTGGATTTGCGATAGCATTTATGGTGCATTATGCAGTCACAGTGGAAACATTCAACTATTGTTTGGCCGATGACTATGTTCTTAGAACAGACAAGACATACCTCCTTAATGAGGGGAGTCATGTGGTTGGTAGCCATCCACGTGACCCTGACTAGCAGCAGCAGGAACAACAGGACCAGTTTCTCTTCCAGCAGTCACATCCCTGAAGGATCTACTGTCTACCTTTGTGGACCTCCTCTTCCTTTTGTCGATACCACCGTTAATCCTGAGAAGAACAGTGTTACGAATAAATTGACCTAACTTTGCTAGTCCCCTCCAGTTGAGGTGAAGGAAGTCTGGTTTTTGGTGTTTGTTGAGGTCGCGAGAGAGAGAGCGGTCAAGTAGACCATCTCTATCACAGAACTCATCAAATCCATCCACATAACTGACACCAAAATTGGACGGGAGCAGCCTACGTCGAATCAAACTGTTAAAATATATAAGTTTTCTATTTAAGTCAGCACGTTTAGAGGGAATTGCTGGACAAACAAAAACATGTATACACGGATTGACAGATTGTATCTGTGCAATCTTTGAAGCTAATGCATTATAAATAATTTCAATGTCATGTTGGTTCTTGACCTCTTCGTTTTTGAGGTACCTTGCCATCTCTAAAGAAAAGGATCACATTATATTACTTTGACTGTGTTTAGTGTTTCAAATAATTCATATTCGGCAAGTAATCTACCGTCTGCATTAAGAGGAAAGTTCAAATTATTCTGTGTGCTATTATTTCAGATAATCTCTGGTGCACTTCTGTCACAATGGGTTGTTATAGGTTAACTCAACAAAGCTAAGTAAATGGTTTGTACAGGCATCTGCTCCATTTAGACTTAGTGTACACTGAGGCTTAAGATCCACTGAAAGATATTGCTTATCATGATTGATGATTGGTATCTTTTCATAATAAAAGTTAGCTGGCAACTGAAATGGAATGCCAAAGACCAAGAATGCATTGTCGCCAGCAGAAACACTGTCTTTGATAACTTGTAAGCTAAGGATTTGGGTCTATGCTATTCCCGCAGTCCACTCAGCCGAAAGATCAGGAGAACGTAATGAGGAGAGACCCTAACCATAGAGCTCGAATCTCGTAAGGCTATACGAACCTTTCGTACACAACGAAACGAGATTGATCTGTAAACTATATACATTTCGGTTTTGCGATTTATATGTTTCGGTCAGCTTAGAGCAAACGGGTTAATTGTACATAACACTAACCTAAAGCTAAGTTGTAAGTGCTGAGACAGAACCTTTAGGTAAATCAATGCACTCACAGGTTGAAAAAGTTATTCACGTGTTGTAAAAATAAAAATAAAATAATTTTTTTTAAAAGAAAAAAAAGGGGGGACCCCCAACCCATGTAGCTGAGACACCTCACAGCAAGTAGACCAAAGTGGCTCTTCCTTGTGATCAGTGCATCAACTACCTGCCGAAGCGGTGGGTTGGGAGTCCCCCCTGGGATCATTTCGTCCGTAAAATTGTATACAATATAAAATAGTACAGTAAAATATCTACAAAATTTACACAAACAAATCTAGGAGACCTCAAAGCTCGTCTTCTGGGGGATGAGGTTGAAGGATACGTCTTGCAGTTCAAGATGCTGGGCTGTTGACCTTCCTCTGATTCCCCTCAGTGCGATGAGTGAACTTCTTAATAGTGTTGTTGATTAAAACTATTTGTTACAAGTGGAGAAAGAGATCCATGCTTTATCATAAACTAGAATCCTTGATTAACGATGTCAACCCTTTGAGATCGTTGCTTTGCAAAGCTGAGCAAAATTTTTGCGATAGGAAGCAAGAATGATAGTTCGAGCGGCGCGTCGAAGCGGCGACATCCTCTAACTAGTAAACCCACACAAGGACAATACAAGGTATAGGATCATAAATCAAAACTTTATTACAGCTTACAGTAATTTAAAATGGAATCTTATCTTTATGAAAAGTTATGAGGATAATGTTTTTGATAACATTTTTAAAATGTTGTATTTGATGAATAATTAATGTTGGTGGGAAATATTTATTATATATTTTTTCACATAGTGCGATGATATTTTGTAAACATATGTGATGCAGATGCAGATGATGTGATGTCATAAGTTTTACTTTACTACTTTACTTTACTTTTATTTTAATGGACTAACTCAGCGCCCGCTATTTCGTAGCACTTGCCTCGAGAAGAAAGCGGCGTGCGCTACTTCGAAGAAATTTAGACGAGTAACATCCGTAAACATTGAACTTGCGACTGTCACGTAATTTTTTCAAACCGTTCTCTGTACTGGCCCTGAACGACTATTTTTGATTGGCGATGTCAACCCTTCGAGATCGTTGCTTTGCAAATCAAAGTAACGATCTACAATTCTAATAAAAAATGATCAATGATAGTTCGCGCGGCGCGTCGACGACCTCCAACGACTATTCCATATTCGAAACGCTAACCCTCTAATTTGATCCCAACCCTAACAAAACACAAAAGTATATGCTGAAATTAAACCCTGACAAGAAACTAAACCAACTACTTTTTAGGATAATGATTAATCACTTTACAATCGACTGTCAGATCACGTAATTTTTTTCACCCCGTTCTCTAGCTGGTCCTGAATGCTGAACGACTATTCGATACCCTAACCCTCTAATCTGAACCCAACCCTAACCTAATCCTTAACAAAAGCATATGCTGAAACCTTAACCCTAACGAGAAATTAGACTAACTTCCTTATACGGTCATATCACGTGATCTTGATTCACGATGTCAATCCTTCGCAGCTCGGTGAGGCACAGTGGTGCATCTCGCCGATCTACCGAAGCGGTTGCGAGAAGCATTATTTGATGCGCGCGCGACCCAGTAGTGCATCGCGCTACATGACAACACGTGATCGAAACAGTTTTTCGCCAATATCTCGCCTTTTAACCTTGTCATTGTGCATTGGGGTGATTCGAAAATTCATCGATCCAATTTTCATATAAAGTTGGTTTTAACTGTCGTATAATATATCGGTTCACATAGCCATCGGCGGTCGCGAGCTACTCATGCAGTCATGCAAGCGCGCGAGCAAGAGGACTCTGGTTTATAGAGCAAATATATCGGGATTCTTACCACTTACACATTTTAGAAAAGTCTCAGGTAAATCTTAACAACGCCAGCTACGTACTGTGGAGATTACAAATATTTACAGTGTATAAACTATAGATATAGTTGAATTAGTAGGCTGACGTTGTGAACCATGAAAGTCAAGCGACTGGCCGGCCGGACGGACGGACGTACGCAGGAGATCAAAAGGTACGCGCGTACGTGCGACAAATGTAAATTTGGTGCCTTGGTTCATGAATAATGCTTTCGCGCGTTCCAGACAATGACTTATAATGTTATCACCGATCGCACTTGCCAATTTTGCCACATGGCACATCGTGTCGTCTCGTCGATTTTCACCTAAATTTTGCTGGTCCCTAAGTCGAGAAACACGGATGATCAGTCATAGAACGAACAAATTTTACATTCAAACCAATAATGTAATTTAAGTCATGAAACTGTATTGTCTGAGTCCAACATTCACATAATTCATAGAATTAACCATGATAAAATTTAATAAAAATCCAACAAATCACGAAAAACACAAGTAATTCCTTATTTTGTTCATCTCAAAGCATTAGGAGCGTCTCGGTGAACGGTGTTCTTCATTACCTCGTTTATAAGCTGCCTATCTAACTGTTCGTACCTGAGTATTCCACGTGTTAGAACATATTGTAGAACACAGTTGTGTTATGAACACTTGTGTAATCGGATGTACAACTTTCAAACAATGTCAAGCGGAGGAATTATAGTAATATTAGGAAAATAAACGTAATAATATTAGAGGTATACGTACATTATACAAGTTATTTCAAAATGCATGTAAAAACACGCTCTGAAAAACCAGAAGAAAGCAAACGACAGCACATTTGACATACCTTTGGTCAGTGAGATAGTTAAGGAATGCTGTGTAGGAAGGTCTCATGAGGTGAGGCTCGCACACTCCAGTGTGTATGGTGATGGCGGTACTCAGCGTGAATAACAACACCGTGTCGTATGGAATCTCAGGGATCACCTGCAAATTGTTACTATTATCATCAGGAACGATACTGGTCATGAAATTGAAGTCAATATTATTTTGAGCTGGCTAGATAAGTTATCAATAAAATGTTACCTTGTCCTGTATGAGCTTCTTATAAACACCTTGGAAAGCTCGGCAAAAGAAGTACAATGCTACTGGGCCCGAAGGTTCTGGCATTATAGCAAACAACAGTCCTGACACTGCACCTGAATAACAAACTTGGGTCAACTTAAATTTGGACGAAAAGTGGCATAGCAGATTTTTAATTCGGTAACGATGTTACCATTTAAAAAATAATGGTGTTTAAATACGATTAAATGCATACGATTATTTAAAATGTCTGCATCGTTGACACAGTAAAATCAGGATTTACAAGACAAGTCTACCTGATAGAGCAGGGGTTATATCTTTAATCCCAGCTTTATGGAACAGACATTCCAGAGCCACAACGCTAGCACTGTACGCGCCCACGAACGAACTGACACGTGCTAAGTCAGAGCGCCGCGCAAACAAGCGCATCACCTGACGTAGCGAACCTCCAGAGCTGAGTAGTCGTAAACACATCTGGGAATGTAGAATTTCAAAACTTTCATTCTGGTGTTCAACTAATTATATTATGGTTAGGGCAGAATAGACCCAACCGAGAATGTAGCTGGCATTAAGCGTTGAGGGTTCATGGCGAGCCTCGAAGTACACCATAAAAAACAAACAGATTTGCTGAGTAAAAATACCTGTATGATAGTTCCCCAAATTAGTCCATTGAGACCCGTGTCCAACGTGTGAGCTATACACGACTTTTCGTGGGTACACAAATCTGACCTGAGATAGGATAAGGACACATAAGAAAGGAGTGTGCAAGTTATTAAAAGGTAACAACCTTTTTAAGCCGCCCTCTCACGTTTAAATATAATATGCGAGGCGCGAGCTGACGAGCTCTTTACCTTCAAAAGAAACGTCACATTTTAATCTAACCCCAAGTAAAGTTTGAAGGTTTTGAGGAGCATAATTTAAGTAAAAGCTGTAAAACAAACAATGAATTTAGTAAAACAAACGGAGTGAAAGAAAATTGAAACTAAGACTTAGTTAACAAGACATTAAAAATAATCCCTAACCTGAGAGGATAAGAGAAGTTACTGGTTATGAGCAGGTCAATTTGATCAGTGAGTCTCTCCCTGAGCCGGGTTACCAAATACTTCTGATGTGCAGGTTTAGACTGGTGTTTGCAGTCCAGCAACTTACTCATCATCCAGTCCAAGGTGTCGTTTATTTTCACCTGACAAGGTAACTTTGAGTCTCCACAATGTTCACTTTGTAGCCAGTAATTATCTCACAAAATGTGGTAATGTTGCCAGTTGCGAAATTAGGGAACAAAATGTATTTCATGAAAGACAAGAGTAAAACCTACGAAATGCAGCCTATCCAACTGTACCTCTTTATTGCGGTGAAAGTGAACGAGGACAGCACTGGAGAGAGAAAACAGCACCACCTCACCCCCCTTTAGCTGCGGAATGAGGCCCCTATACACTGCCATCTCGTACAAACATTCCAGCGCCAAGCTCGCCATGTAGATTGCCAGTATTTCTTGTCTCTATTTGGGGGGATAAGTAGTGAAGTGGTGAAGAGTGGAAGTTGGGGGGGGGGGGGGGGTGCACTGGGTGACTCTTTGTTAATTAATAATTGAAAACGTGGTTACAAGCAAATAATGTGATCCTCCTGATTAATCATTTAAAACCGAATGACTTGTTCCACTTACATGGTATTTCTCAATGTTGATAGTGGCAAGGCTCCCAATGGCAGAGGGAATGAACGCAACAGTGATTGCACGATAGTGGCCGAGAAGGCGGCGCAGCACGCAGTGCGCAGCACACGTTATGTAGCAGTGACACGTGAGAAACGCTGCTGATCCTGGATAATGTTATCTTGAGAACAGTGATTGCAACGTTTCATGTAAAAATATGGTCAAGTTTTATAATAGAAGTTACAGATAGTGTCCCGGACTCCCGTACAACCTTATATTATAATCCAGGGCAAATAATTAACAGAAAATCAAACTACACGCAATCATTCAGTAGTGGCAGATACAGTAAACATATTATGACATTGCTTAGTATAGCATGAATTACAGAACCGTGTTCAGAAGAATTGCTTTGTTTATTGAAATATTTTTGTTTTTTTCATCGAATATTAATTTCTTTTATTAATTTCCGAGATATATTTGAAATTTCTGTTTGTAACTTATTTAAAACTTACTTATAACGTCGGGAAAGGTTTTCTTTAGTCCCTGATAAATAGACTTGTGCTTGAGAAGTTGGGGTAAAAGATAGAGAGCCGTGTAGATCTGCAAATAATTATAGCTAGATCAATCAAAATCTCTTCACACACTCTTTCAAGAGAGAGAGAAAAAAAGAAGACCTCTTTAAAAAGAAGAACCCGATCAAGAACATAATCATGCTAAACCCCCTGTGAGCGATTCCTAAAATTCAACCTCTGGACCCACCTTGACAGCCTTAACAGAGCACACAGAGAGAAACTGCAAGCCAGCCATGTCACAGCGCCTATGATCAGGGTGCCACAGCTTGCTGCAGGGTAACCCGTACACACCCGGAACAAACAGAGACTTTGCCGTCTTCAACAGACACTCTATCTTCTCTCGGGTGGTTGGTATCATTATGTCTTGTGGGTGTTGTGGTGAGGAGCAGGGGTTGTGGTATCAGGGAGGAATGGAAGGAATGTTAGGATTCGGGAGGGGGAAGAACTCTGGGGTAGGACTGGTTCAGTATGAATTCAGGAGCGGATGTGATAGTCTAGGGTACGATTTCCAAACTGGAGTTTGACTGATTCTTACTGTTCAGCAAGGAGCAGTCAACTTCGTTTCATGACGGCGTCTTTTTCTTTGTCTGTCGTCACAATATGCTTTTCTTAGGACATGATTATCTAGGAACTAGACATTTTTTTAATGATTGAATCATGTTATTACTTTATTAGTGTCATCAGCGCAAAAAACGTAAATCATGTAAAATCATAATATGGAATTTATCTTTATATTATTATATGCATTACCAATTTTGATTTACATAATTGGGTATACTTTAAATAATAGAAGTAACGAATTTGTAGCCCAAAAACGATAATAATAATCTAGTAATTACTAGATTTTCAAATAATTGAGACTATTCTTAGAGGTGAAACCCAAAATATTAGCACGAATTGACATTTTCAACCATGTTTGTTAACATACATACATTAATCCAACATGAGTAAAGAACTGTTTCCTTAATAATTTAACTTACACCATACGACCTGCCTAACCGTGTCATGTCAATGTAGATGTAAATACAACTGAAGTCCGTATATATACTATATATATTATATATATAATAAATCTCCGGTTTACCGCAACTCCAATTACCAATCCTGATTTTAAAATACAAGACAGTCTAGTTCTATCTCTATAAGATTGTATGAAAGTCCTATTCCTAACTTCCTTATAATCTACGATAAAGCTGATACTGATAGTTAAACTGACATTTTTATTTCCCTAATAAATTATCTGACGAATATTATAAAAAATCGATCATTGTCCTTGCAGTATGTGTTATCAATTACTAAGAAACATCTACAAAAAGGGAGGGATTACCATATCAGAGGTAAATCGTTTCATAGAGAATTTTCAGATATTACCAACATCTTAACCAAGTTGGTGCATGGTTTCTTGATTAATTATAGCAATTAGCAGTATCGTTTAGGATAAAGTTTGATGAAGCTGACGATTGATCAAATTCCGACTAGAAATTACCTGCAGCTCAGTACAGTATAAAACACGATTATATACAATACCAACGATTGAAACAAAATTTCGAAAAAGAACATTCACATCAAATAATTGTAAAAAGATGATTAGCGCAGCTAAATAAATAAACTCCCCAAACAGCCAAACCTTCGCCTAGATCATAAAATTATCACTGCAATAGTAATTAGTAATACATAAACAGAGGCCAAATAAATATTATTAAAAAAGTTTTGAAAAGATTAAAAAACTCCTCCCTCAGGACCAAATATCTTCACAATATCTGCCGTCCTTCTTCATCCCAGATATCATCTCCCTCGCTTCCGCCTCACTGACTCCCTTAATCCTACTCAACACTCTACAAAACATCTCATACACTCCAACACTCAACCCCTTCGCATCCCCACACACAAATACCCTTGCTCCTTCATCTACATAGCTCACAATATCTTTGTCGTGCAATTCAATTACATCTTGCACGTATTTGCACGTGCTGTTTTCGTCGCGAGAATACGCAGTTAGATAAGTATCCAGAGTGCCGTTCAAGTGATGTTCAGTGAATTCGTTACCATATATGGAGTCCAACTCCTTGTACCTGTTCCCTGTTATCAATACCGATCTTGTTTTCACGGTGGACTCAGCGAGATGGTCTAAGAATCCCAAGAACGGCGCAACACCGGTCCCCGCACCAATCATCACCATCCCTCCATCACCCACTGTAGGTTTAAACACTGCATTCTTCCTCCGATACACAAACACACCATCACCCTCTGCCAACCCCCTCAACCAACTGGAGCAAACCCCGGGGACACCCGTCAATTCTCTAGTCACGTGCTCCCTGATGTTAGTCACGTGATTAAAGACGAACTTGACACCGTGTTGAGATACCCTGGAGACGGAGTAGTAGCGGGGTGTGAGGCGGGGAAGGTGCTGGAGGAGGCAGCAGAAGGAGGGGGAGGAGGAGGGGAACAGGGACAGGATCTCCAGCAGGGTTAGGGACCGGGTGTAGATTAGATCGTTCAGATCTTTACTGCCCTGGGGAAGATGCTTGTTAAATATCTAGACTATAAGACTATCGTTATATCGTTAAATCAGTTTAGACAGATGAAAGAGAATGAGTTGTTAAAGAGTATAAGTAGCCCTCATAAAATGTCGGAAAATTTAATGAAAAATATGTATCATTGCAGACATAATATTATTGATGACAACCCAAGATTAAGTATTTTACAGTACCCACTACCCATTAGGGGTACCTGTTAAAAGTTCAAGAAACTTCCTAGGATAATACCCCTTCAGTGCATACTGTAAACATAGTACTATTAACTAGTATTACTATTAAATAGTAATATTACAAAGATATCTTATAAACAAAAGTAAAGTGAACAATGTACAGGATGGGCCAAAAGTCAGTGTGCAAACGTTGGCTTTAATATAGCTCAGTCACTGAGTGCCCAATTGAAATAATTCTTGCTTATGGGCAGTTTGTGCGTTAACCGTGCCTTAAGTGACCGTGCCTCAACCGTGCCTTATGTAACCCTTGTGCCTTAACCGTGCCTTAACTGTGCTTTAACCATGCCTTAACCGTGCGTAGCTACATTACCGAATTGCCTCGAAAAATATTCGTGTTCATTTTTTTCAAATGAAGGTTCATTTTCGAATTTATTTGATAGCTTGGATAGTCGGATCAAGCCAAATTTTATTGGATTGTGTTTGGCCATTCGAATTACGTTTGTGCTGAAAAATGAGAATTGTAGCTTAGCTTCTCAGATGACCGAGATTTTATTCGATAAAAAATTGTACGATCATAACGATAGACGCAAAGCTACGAAAAATGGTACAGATAGGACAAATTGACTTATCAAGGATAATATGCGATCAAATAGTGAATATATGCATTCTTCAGGGCGGACTCTAATATAGTATTCGTCCGAACATTATTTTTAGATTTTGCACATTTATTTAATTTGTAATTTTACTTCCTCCCGACCGAATTTTAATTCCACAAGTTGCAGCTTTGCAGGAGGGTCTGTGGCTTTTAAATGCGTTAATCGTGCCCCACTCGAAAAAATTTCTGATTAGTTGAATTTCTTGGTTTGTTGAATTTCTTGGCTAGTTGAATTTCTTGCATTTCTTTCACTGATTATTATCTTTTTGAGCTGGGAGTTCAGCCTAAATTTGTTGTGAAACTTGATTGTGAAACCCTGATTTCGAGATAACAAACTAGGACCAGTGATCTGAACGAACCTTTGAGGGGTTAGCCGCCCCCAGGCGCCCACCGGCGCTCGGGGGCAGCCATGCCTATAATTAATGGACCTAAATTCAGACGTAGAATCGTATTTTAATCCACTTCATAATGCTCAGGGTTGCCGGCATTTTTGAGAGTCATTTTTAAGGTTTTTTCACGTCTTTTAAGGCCCCTTTTGACCCATTTTTAAGGTCCAAAACAGTTAAATTTAAGGTTTTTCAAGGTTTTCCGATACAGAAATTGCAATCATATCTAAAGGGGGAAGGTATAATTTCAGAAAACCCCAATTAGATCTACAACAAGCTAGGTATAATTTCAGAAAACCCCAATTAGATCTACAACAAGCTAAGTATAATTTCAGAAAAACCCAATTAGATCTACACCGAGCTAGGTATAATTTCAGAAAAACCTAATTAGATCTACACCGAGCTAGGTATAATTTCAGAAAAACCCAATTAGATCTACATCAAGCTAAGTATAATTTCAGAAAACCCCAATTAGATCTACAACAAGCTAGGTATAAATTCAGAAAAACCCAATTAGATCTACAACAAGCTAGGTATAATTTCAGAAAATTTTACTAATCCGGAAAATCCATTTAGATCTACAACAAGCTAGGTATAATTTCAGAAAAACCCAATTAGATCTACACCGAGCTAGGTATAATTTCAGAAAAACCCAATTAGATCTACAACAAGCTAGGTATAATTTCAGAAAAACCCAATTAGATCTACACCGAGCTAGGTATAATTTCAGAACATCCAATCAGATCTACACCGAGCTAGTTATAATTTCAGAAAATCTTATCAGGTCTACACAGAGCTAGGTATAATTTCAGAATATCCAATCAGATCTACACCGAGCTAGGTATAAATTCAGAAAATCTTATCAGATCTACATCAAGCTAGGTATAATTTCAAAAAAATTTTACTAATCCGGAAAATCCATTTAGATCTAACATCAAGCTAGGTATAATTTAGGTATGAAACCTTAAAAAACCTTAAAAACCCGAAAATTTGCCCGTTTTTCACGTCTTTTTTAAGGTTTTTTGCCCAAAATTGCCGTTTTTAAGGTTTTTAAGGTTTTTTAAGGTTTTTAAGGTCCCCCGGCAACCCTGATAATGCTCAACATTCAAAATCATACGAATGAACGATTTATATTAAGGGGGATGCTCAGTGCTCACTTTTGCACTCTATGAGAATCAGCTTCATTCGATCAAGCAAAATAACAGTCTAATTAATCGATGCAGGTAGTATGGTCCAGCAAAACTAACCAACCATTTTCAATCAGATGGTGGATTCTGCACTAACGGAATATCTGACTGAACTGTTTTTACTGAAGTCCCCCAACCAAATCAAGATTCTCCCCTTTGATTCGATACCGGGGCATGAGGCAATACCGTTCAGATTCGAAATTCACTTAGAAAATGGGGAGGAAAAGAAAGTTTTTGTAAAGAAAGTGAGTAGAGAGCTAGAGGGACGAGATGTGCTCATGAAGGGTTCTGTATACAATATTGATGCTCTGGTGGGAGGCTGGAGTTTACCAGAACTTTCTACCGGAGATTAGGAGGTTCCTGGAAACACATGAGGGTGTGACAGCAGATATCATAGATTCCTGCTTCGTTGAATATTATGGCTATAAGGAGAACGAGGACGAGAGTTTTTTGGTCCTTCAGGACCTTTCAGAAAAACAGTGCCAACTCCCCCCAAACATGCCACGGGGAAATTTATTTGAGGAAGCACTACTTATTTTGCAGAAACGGGCAGAGCTTAGCGGTATATTCTACGCGTGGAAAGAAAACAAAATACGAAGCGGAGTCGATGAACATCCATTTGAATCCTTCTTAAATGTGGGTGTAACAAAGAAAGGCCTTGCAATTGCCAATATGAATAATGTTCTACGAAACGTATGTTCATCTTCAGTCACTGTTAAGATGTTGAAGATGTTACAGAATAATGCTGCAGAGGAACACACTGAATTGAAGGAACGGTGTAATCTAAATTCACTAGACAAGCTAATAAGATGGCAAATGGATGAGAATCGAGACCCCATACAACTTACAACAGATAACAACCTTTGGGGCCCTGTTCTTGGAGATTTTCAGCCGCTCAACATTGCGATTTCAGATAAAATCGACAACGTGGTGTTCTTTGATTTCACACATTTTATGCTTAGCTCGGTGATGCAAGAATTTCAACGATACATGGCAGTTTGTATTAGCCTCGATCCTCACCGTGAGCGACTCCTTGAAGTCTATATTGACTCGTTTATTGAAAGCATATCGCGGTTCAAACTGGTAGTTTCTCGCGAGCAACTCACTGCGGAGTTTAACCTCACTAAGTTTATCTACATACAGTGGAGATTTTGCATCTACAGTTTTGTCCCAATGCAAAATGCAGAACTATATAATGCGGTATCGGATGCGGACATCAATACTGAAGAAGGGGAGGCTACAGTTTTTAGGATGCTGGAGAAGTATCCAGAACATTGGAAATATATAAATGGTCTGGTAGATTTAGTCAATAAGATTGACAAGGAGCCCTCGCAGTATATTATAACCTAAAGATAGATCTTTCAAATGAGCATGGACTATGGGGTAAGAAAGACTTAAACTTTACTCAAAAAGACTTAAACTTTATTGATAATTGATTTCTGTACTAATTAGCATACTTATCATATTTTATATTTATTTAATTAGTTGATATTCTATGTAGTCATTTTTGAAGATTTTCATACAGCGTTGAATCATTTTATTTATATTACCAGCTTTTCTGCAATATGCCTAGGATTAAATTATTTCTAGGAACTAAGTAAGTCATACCAGAAAGAATTATTTCGATTGGGCACTCAGTGACTGAGCTATTAAGGCCAACGTATGCCCAATGACTTTTGGCCTACCTCTTTAGAAGCTAGAAAACGAAGACAATCCCCCTCCTTCCCGTTCTCACAACACTCCGCAAGATACAACAACAGCGCTTTCTTAGGCAAAGACCTTACATCCAGTGTATACTTGAGGGCGTAGTACGGGCTGCAGTTTAACAGCACGTGTTTCGGGAGAAGTCGAGGTTTAACGTTAGGGTCAGGAGTAAGGGTGTATTGTTTGTGGGCGGTCTGGGTTACTTTCAGCCTGGAGAGGGTGGTTTGTTTTTTAGGTTTCAGGTTAGCTGGTAGTAGATGGTTATAATCACTATCTGTTTCTGTGATTCCATCTTTTTATGATTCCAAGTTCAGATATTGCTCTAAATTTTAAAGAGTTGACTCATGCTTCATTGATCATTTAATTTTTAGTTGACGGGATATAGTATATCTAACTAAAAGAAACCAAAAAAAGTCAATTGTTAGATAGATTCAATAGTCCACTAATTTGCTACCTGTCTAACAAGTCCCAGACCTCCCTCTCGCTGTTGTGACACAGCACTCCAAACGAGTCTCCAGGACCATAACAAGCCACTGTTTTCAACTCAATCTCAAACGTCTCCTTCGTCTTCTCACTCCTCTCCGTCAAACAGGTCCTCCTCAGAACAGTGCTCCTCTCCAACGGTCCAGCAGCAAACGGGAGGATGAACTTGTCCACTCCGTCTGGGAAGCTGCTCTTGAAATCGTCTTCAGAAAATTCAAATTTGAACATTTGTTTCACCTTAGGGAGATCTTTGGTGATTTCTAGATGAGCGAGTTTTTCTAAAAGCGCTGAGTCGAGCTGCAGAGAGGGGTTTAAGGTGTTGTTTTGATTGCGCAGGATCTGTGATAAAGGTTCCCAAAGTCCCTCAATCCAGGGTTCGACCACTAGTTCCAACCCAACTTGATCATCAGCAAGCTGAAATAAGACAACATTTAAGCAACATGGTATGGTTTTTAAATTTATCATTGGTTTAAAGTCAGAATTTAACAATGTGGTCACCAGGCGTGGCGGTCTTTATAATCAATAATTTAAATCACTATATAGATGCTTCTAAATCGAATTTACTAATGAATCCTAACCTGAAACTCGTAGAAAGATCTAGCACCTGATTCCTCCAGAAAGTCCTTCAGAGCGTTGGGAAACCCCCCGAATTCGGTGTAGTTGGAATCTCCAAGACCAAGTAAAGTGTAACTTAAGTTCTGAGGTGGCTTATCGTTCAAGAAACCCCAGAAACTCTCGAAGTTTTCTGGTGGGTCTCCTTCGCCGGTGGAGGAAACAACAAATACTACAACCTGGATGATGGTGCTTGGTTGGAACTTGAACGGATACAAAATTGTTTTTTCTTTCCAGGACTGGCTAACACTTTAAGAACCACAATCATGAACTCATCTAACTAACCATTTATAATATTTTCATCACAAACGTTTACTGACAATTCTTCCGACACGTCACGTGATAATTCCTGATTGCGTCACGTGATAATACCTGATCGTGTAATCTGTCCATGTTACCCTCCATTTCATCGCCACACAACAACTCCACTTCCAACCCCAAGTTCCCAGAGTCGTGTACTATCCGCTCTGATATCGCTTCAGCCTGACCCGTCTGTGAGCCGTATATCAGCAGACATTTGGGGGTTTTATCCAGCATCACGTGGTTTTGTGCCACGTGCTATCCTTATAAGGTATTGTTTACCACGTGGTCTAGGACGAGTTGTGATCACGTGTTCTCTTTAAAATGCGGTGTTTACTCCCGTGTTCATCATCACCTGAACCATATAATAATAATGAGTGCTTAACTTTCAGCAAGAGGTGTGAACTGTAAACTACTAAACTAATATTGAGCAGGAGGACTTCCTGATTTTACAGTGAGCAGTTTTGAAATTAAAGTTTAAATATACTCATAGCCAAGCAGTGTCATAAGCTGTCATAAGGTGACGATTTGGTTGAAGGTGACCAGTTTCCTGCCCCAGTACTTCATACCCCATATTTTTTCGTGCTAGAGTACCAAGTCGTTCGTTATGTTACGGGTTTACGGAAGTTAAGGGGTTATTAAGAAACGGCTCCATGATAACTGATAAGGTTATATGGTAACCATGGTAACGGATCAATGGATTGGTGCAGTGGGGTAAAGTTATGGAAACGGTGAGGATAATATGCCAAATTCTGGGGGCAAGAAGTATTGGAGTAGGACGTTATGTGGTTTTTGTTGTGATCTTTTGTTGTGAGCTTTTGTTGTGAGCTTTTGTAAGGAAAATTGCTGCACTTTAATTTAGTATCAAATTTGAATTTTGAGGCACAAAATAAGACGCGAAATTTAAGGTTTTTATAATTTGGTAAAGTATAGTTTAACCAAAGGGTTGCAATAAAATGTTAAAACAGTACAGTACAATCGTATAAAATATCAAATAAAATATGTCACATATAGATATATTATGTCAAAAATCTGAAATTAAATTATACAGAGAATATAAACCGTTACCTTGCAGTTAATCTATTTAACTAATTAACTTATCTTATTAACATCGGCTTCAAATACATTTTTAGCAATTTGGATAAAAAATAAGTCGATAGAAATAGGAAGAATGGAACTGAAGGATTTGTAAGTTTTTTAGGCGCATTCTGCAAAAAACGCAGTAAAAAGTAGTAGTACTCTAAAAAGCGATAGGACATTCTCTGCCATATTATGCAAAAACAGTAAAGGATCAATTTAAAAGTAAACTAATGAGAAATCACTAATACTTTGAATCTGTAACAAATAAAATATTACTATTATATAAACTGACTAGTTCGAATAATCGTAAATATCAGTAATTTGTAAAGTGGTCAGTGATCAGCCACAAAATGTCAGTTTACTTCACACTACAAACATTCTATTTTTAAGCGATTCGCGTTACGATACTTTAGATAACATTCTTCTGACATCAACATCCCAAAATACCTAAACTTAGTATAAAAAAGCAAAAAGAGAATAATCCTCATCATTCTAATCACTACTCATGTCAGACACAGGTATCACGGCTCAGAGCCAATTAAAAAACAATTAAAAACTTTCGATGATCACGTGTTTTTAAGTTTGTTGGGATTAACTCTGGCAAGGAAGGCTTCCAGAAGTTTGTCTGTGATTGGAGCCTCCTGGAGGATCTGGTTCCATATCCTGGGGTCCCAGGTCCAGTGGAGAGAGGAAAGGCGGGTGTAGCTGGGACATTGGACTAATTAGTAATTAATTATCTGTTTTAAATTTTAAAAAAGTGATTAATGATACAATTGTAAAAAATGCACGTAAATCTGAAACAATTATCAAATTCACAATCTTTAACCAACAACTCTAATCTCTCCCCAATTGCCTACCCAAAATCAGCAGCAGCATCAGCTGGCCACTCGTACTGCGAGCTCCTAGTTTTACAGTTGAAAAAGTAGAACTTCTTCAACTTGGTGCTCAGCTCCATGTTCCACGGCTCCTTGATGTGCCGGACGAATATGATGCCCTGGACCAGCAATTTCTGGTCGTCCACGCAGTGGGCCAACCTGGGATAACAAACAGCTTAATAACGGTCTTCTATTAACAACTTAGTCACTGAGGTGAGGTTGTCATTGCCTATCCATTATTGAAAATTAGAGACTAGAAAGTATTGTGAGGATAATAAAGTCGGAAGGGCGGGGCTAATTGAATTCAGATTGGGAGAGGTGGGGTATAATTGTTCAGCTTAGAAACAGAGCTATTAGAAAAAACCAGTTTACCTGGGAGTGCTGTGTCCCTTGAAGTACTCCACTCTGAGGGAACTGGTCAGTTGATTGAAGTGTTCTAATCTGTACAACAGAGACTTGATGGACATCGCCTCCTGCCACTTAGTGGCGCTCTCCTTGCGAGTCGTTTTACACATTTTCTCCACCAACCCTATTCTGGGGGTGATGTGGATTTAGTGGGTTGTTCAGAGGGGCACCAAGTTAATTTGTAACTAGTATCGTTTCGATTTTTTATTTGCCATCCGACGTCAGCAATATATAATATGCGTATTGCGTAATGCATATCAAGCCCAAAATTCTAAAAGGTTAAAAAATTGTTCATGTACTTACATACTTATACTTATACTACAAACTAGAGTTGAACTGCGTGAAACATAAACCTTATATCCCCCCGAAACTCTGCTAAGATTCGGACCAGACTTAACAAGTCAACAAACTAACCGGTAACTTAACACCCTAAATCTCACTTCCGTCCCACCGGCCACTATACAGTTACACTCCAACTGAGAAGCCCTACTCAGGTCTAAAGTGATGTTAACATTTTAAAGAGCAAATTAACCGTTCATGCTAGACTGACTGTTTGAGACATATCTGGGTCATGTAGACCTGTTCTTATGTGTGTGGGAACTGTTGCTTAGTAAGAAAATATATCGTCATTATATTATCCATATAAAACGGTCATGTTGTAGCATTCGGAAGGTTTCGGAACAAATTACCATCTGATATTGCCAGTACAGGCCGTGTGCCCTGTTTACTAATTTCCGACAGAAATACATTTTATAGTTTTCTGAACACAAATTAAAACTTCAAGTTAACCACACCCCGAAGATGTATCGAAATCAAGAACTATACAAGTTGGAAAGGATGCCATTATTATATCCACGTTTAAAAGACAGGTAAAAGAAAGGTACCTCTCACTGTACGGCTTGTGGTATATCTCCTGTCCACCGATCACTATTCCATCAGTTATAACCACGTTGTAGGTCCTCATGCCACTGTTCTCTCCCGAAAACACTTCTGCTACCTGAACACAAGAATACAGTAGTTTTAAATTGAGATAACTGTTTCGCTTGCTAGTCGATCAGAGTAAGTGAACATTATGTATAATATAAAGTTCTTACTATGCGACTACAAAACCATCAGCTACTTTAGTTCATTACACGTCTTGTATAGGTGATGGGGATTGTGTTGAGTACATTTACCCTCTGTTAAACGCAGGGTTTATTTATAGTGGGAACGGTAAGTGAAATGTTACGACCTAAATAACTGAAATACATCAAATGAGATGTCTCAAAACATTGAAAGAGTTTTACAAAATCTGTTTCCTGTACCTGCGCTTCTACGATTGTGTCACGTGGGAGCTCTATCTGCATGTGCTGATCACGTGTCCATGTGTGGAGATCTCCGTTGAAGAAAAACACGTGCTTAGTCTGAAATACATTGTCACTGTTATACCGTGTATCGTGCATGATTCTGGCCTTTGTTTTTAATTTATATTTGATTATCAAAGCCGTTATAACGACATTTCATCAATTCTAAAAGATTAAACACCAGCCACCATGCCAGTTTAGTGGGGTGAAAAAATGAGGGGTGAAAGTGGCCTCTAATCACAAGTAAAATGAGGGGTGAAAGTGGCCGCTAATCACAAGTAAAATGAGGGGTGAAAGTGGCCTCTAATCACAAGTAAAATGAGGGGTGAAAGTGGCCTCTAATTATAAGTAAAATGAGGGGTGAAAGTGGCCTCTAATCACAAGTAAAATGAAGGGTGAAAGTGGCCTCTAATCACAAGTAAAATGAGGGGTGAAAGTGGCCTCTAATTATAATAAATAATAATAATAAAATTTGGTAGCTAAGCTTAAACACAAACTCTAAGCCCAGTGGATAAACCACAAAACTTATGCTCTATTGTGTGAAACAAAGATACTAGATCAAGATAACTATCAAGGAGTGTATGCATAGGACATAAAAAGTTTTGGAACGAAGATGACATGCTTGTGAAGCGAGCTAACAGTCTAAATGCTAATAAGTTCAAAAAGATCATGACATTAGGTTGCATCCTAAACAGTTTAAGCAAATAACATAAAGTTATTATATTGTCAATTAATCGCTCATGCCATAACTTTTCTTAAACAGGTGAGTTTTTAATAATGTTTTGAACAGATCAACATCGGAACAAGTCTTAATTTCAATTGGTAGTTGGTTCCAGATTTTCGGAGCAACAGTCTGAAACGCTCTTGGGTGTGATCTTGTAGATCCGACGGGTAGGTGTAAGGAGGAAGTTCTTCTGCTACTCGAACTAACAAATGTTACTAGATCACACAGATATGCAGGAGCAACACCATTGACTGCTTTGAAAATCAGTAAGCATAACTTAAACTCAATCCTCTCCTTCACCTTGAGCCAATGAAGGGATTTGAGCTTCTCCTCGACTGAGTCTCTCTTCTTTAATCCAAAAACCAGACGGCATGCTCGGTTCTGAATGTTCTGCAGCTGCGTAATTGAGGCTTGACTACAACCATAGTAAAGTGCATTGCAGTAGTCAAGCGATGAGATTACAATTGCTTGAGTCAGTGTTACCATCTGTTTGGTTGTGAGGAATGTTTTCATCTTAGCATGAGCAAGGTCTCTTAGTTTCAGAAAACACGATGTTTTAAGTTGCTTGATTTGCTCACCAAAGTTTAGTTGAGAGTCGAGACGAAATCCGAGGTTCTTTGCAACAGGTGACAGCCTGACACACGTCTCAGAGTTAACAAACACGCCCCCTATAGACAGCTGCTGGAGAACAAGCGGTGTCCCAAAGACAAGAATCTCAGTTTTTCCTGCATTGAGCTGTAGATAATGTTTTTTCATCCAGTCATTAATTTCTTGGAAACATTTGGGAACATCGTTGATAAGGACGGTGGGCTCCTCGTTTGGCTTGAAACTTTTATACAGCTGATGATCGTCGGCGTAACCCTGGATAGAGAAGTTCAAATCATGTGCTGCTGAGTACAAAGAGCGAATGTAGATGTTGAACAGGACCGGACCCAGCACAGAGCCCTGTGGGACTCCAAACTTAATCACTATCTCATAAGATTCCTCATTTCCAACTTTAATCGTTTGACATCTACCTGTGAGGAAGCTGCTGAACCATTTCCAAGCTGTCCCTGTTATTCCCAACTCATTTCTGAGGATGTTCAGTAGTTTGCAGTGGTCAACTGTATCAAAAGCTGCGCTGAGATCCAGGAGAAGAACAACAGTTGCCTTGCTTTCTGTAGATGCAATGAGTAGATCGTTAACAACTCTCACAAGCAGAGTCTCGGTGCTGTGTTTTGATTTGTATCCAGACTGCTGTGGGATGTTCAGGTTGTTGTTTTCTAGATGTTCATTTAGACGCCTGAGCACTACTCTTTCTATCAACTTGCCCACAAAACTAAGGTTAGATATTGGTCTGTAATTCTTGAGATTATCACTATCTAATCCCTGGCCCTTGATCAGGGGTGTGATATGAGCTAGTTTAGCGCCATCAATACTGCCAGAAGATAATGAAGCATTTACTATGTCAACTAAGACGGGTAGTAGAACCTCAAGGTTTTCTTTAAAGATGTTTGCAGGTAGAGGGTCAATTGAAGAAGACTTGATCTCAGATGCCTTGATTATCTCCTCTAGTTCTTCTAGAGTAGTTGGAGAGAACTCAGCTAGTTTTTCTCCGCAGTAAGAGGGCGTTTGATCGTCAGACTCCACATGATCAAAGTTATTTCGTATTGCCTTTATTTTCTCCTGAAAATATACGTTAAAGTTTTCGACTGTGTCCTTGAGAGACTCCGACGAAGGCAACACAATGCTTTTATCCCGATCAAGAAAGGTGTCCACAAATCTAAAAAGACTCTTAGAAGAATAGGAATGCTTTATGAATTCGACTTTGAAAAACTCATGTTTCTTCCTGTCTGAGAGTTCTGTGCACTGCTCTCTGATTAATTCATAGTGTTTCTTGTCAGTTAAAGATCCGGAGATTTTCCACTTTGTCTCGGCTTTTCTTCTTTGGCTTCTAAGTGCTTTATATTCACCATCGAACCAAGGGGCAGACTTACGTTCTTTGATTTCCTTAGTGAGGAGAGGAGCATGGTTATTCAGCACAGTTAGGCACTTAGAGTTGTATAGGCTGATGCGGCTTTCAAATGACGGCATTTCAGCTTGTGATAGACCCTCAGGATCCATTACAGTAACCAATTCCTCAGCAAGATTATCCGCAAAACAATTTTTGTCAATTTCTTTGACATTTCTGAATGTGATAACTTTTTTCTTGTTGAGATTGCTTGCAACTGTTTTTGTGAGGCTAAAAGTAACCGGGAAATGGTCACAGTTTGGGAACATTTCCGAGGTGTGCGAGTCTACTGTGACACTCTTTGGATTGACTATCTGATGGGAGGAGATTACAACATCCAGAATATGTCCTTTGTTGTGAGTTGGATCTCTCACGTATTGATGCAGTCCATAGCTGGCCAATACTTCAGTCAGTTTGGCCGTGTTTCTTGATTTATGATCATCCAAATGAATATTAAGATCACCACAGATTAAAAACTTCTTGTATTTCATGAATATGTTCCCAATAAACTCATCCAAATCTTCAAAAAATACATCAGTCAATGACCCTGGTCGGTAAACACAAGCACAGAGGACAGTATCACCCGATGAGTCTCGAAATTTGCCTAAAACCGCTTCAAACGTATCTCTACACTTATCAAACACAGGAGTAAGGTTCAAATCACTTGAATTGTAAATAATTCCAACTCCTCCGCCTCTGCATTTAGCGGAGTCTTTCCTGATGTAGTGAATCAAGTTATAGCCGTAAGACTTGATGGTAGCAGTAACATCATTCTTCATGCTGGTGAGCCAAGTCTCAGTGACAAAAAGGACAGAGATTCCTTGGTCGATTATAGATTCCATGATTGGTTGAATCTTATTATTGAGAGATCTCACATTCCAGCAACAGCCAAGAATCTCCGCCGGAGAGGATTTCAGATCACTGCTTACAAGTTTTTTGAACTGTAGTAATTGATAGTTTTGCGGAGATGCTGCTGTTTAGCAACATAAGCTGGACATGTCCTATCAAATGCCGTGTGTGTGTTTCTTTCATCCCGATACTTGCCCTTAGAGCAGTTAATGCAGCATGAAATAAGACTATTAGTTTTCTTTTCTGGACAATCTTCTGACGTATGATTCTTGGTACAATAACCACAAATAGCTTTTTCTGATTCACACTCCGACCTGTAGTGTCCAAAACCTTGGCAGTTGTTGCATCGTTTTACATGAAATTGATCATAAACTTTGCAACTAAACAAACTGATGTATAGCCGATCTCCCTGTTGTTCTATGATTTTCCTGATATTGTTACTAACTCGTATAGTAGCTTGATGCTTGCTGCTGTTTTTGATCTGAGGTTTAACTTTTAGTACAGAAAATGTTTCACCCTGGGATTTTAATGCCTCAATGTTGGGGTGAGCTTGAAGGAGCAGGTCTTCTAGATCTTCTTCAGAATAATTATCAGCAAGGTTAGCAACAGAGATTGTGGGCAAACGTTCTGGTGGTTGGTGCGTTTTCATTTCTGGAAGTTGCTGGGATACTTTCTTGACAAGATTTTCCCTGTCAGCCGTTGTCGGACACACAACCACAATGTCCCCTTTCTTGTTGACATACCGTTTGTCAGCATGAATGGCGTTGTCTTTGATGATTTTGTCAACTTCTTCTTGGCGATCTTTTGCTTGATTTCCTGGTGTTTTGCTGGACATGATTAATACAGAGCGATATGAAGGGGCAACTGGTGCTGGAGATGGAGGAGAAGAAATTTCAGTTTTGTCCGGAGATGTTTTCATATTCACAACTTTCATAAGTAAACCCTTCATGTCCTCCATAGATTGGGTCAGATTATCTACTCGCCTGTCAATCAGGTCGACTTTACTTTCGGCACTGACTGCGGAGTTCTGTTCAGAGTGTGTCTTGCAGACATTACACACAAACGTAAAAGTCCCAAATCTGGAACTGTTAACACCCTTGGTTGCGTTTCTGTCGGAGTATGCTTTGAAGAAAGTGCGAGGACAGATTACAGCATTATTGATCCTATCTTTATCAGCATCTCGACAAACAGCATGAAATGACGATTTACACAAAAAGCAGGTGAGAGCAGTGTCATTAGCTTGAACATCATTACAGGTGTTACAAGTGCCGTCTTTGATGTAGGCAAACTGGTATTGAAGAGTGTTACCTTGTCGCTGTTGAGTACTTTCAGAGGATGTGGATGAGTTCAGGATAGGTGTGAAACGTTGCGGGGATAACATATCTTCGTTAACATTCCTGTCATTCTTTGGCGTATCATCCTGTAACGAGATTGAGGACCTGTTACCCTCATCATCAAAACTACCTTCTCCGATCATTGCGCACTTCTTTTACAAAGTGAAACAGTGCAGATCAGCAGAGTCAGTAGAGAATCAAAATTGAGTTCGGGGTCCTCAATAAATGTAATAGATTTGTAGTGTTGTAATTAGTTTAAAAGTAAGTAAAATGAGGGGTGAAAGTGGCCTCTAATCACAAGTAAAATGAGGGGTGAAAGTGGCCTCTAATTATAAGTAAAATGAGAGGTGAAAGTGGCCTCTAATCACAAGTAAAATGAAGGGTGAAAGTGGCCTCTAATTATAAGTAAAATGAGGGGTGAAAGTGGCCGCTAATCACAAGTAAAATGAGGGGTGAAAGTGGCCTCTAGTCACAAGTAAAATAAGGGGTGAAAGTGGCCGCTAATCACAAGTAAAATGAGGGGTGAAAGTGGCCTCGAATCACGAGTAAAATGAGGGGTGAAAGTGGCCTCTAATCACAAGTAAAATGAGGGGTGAAAGTGGCCTCTAATCACAAGTAAAATGAGGGGTGAAAGTGGCCTCTAATCACAAGTAAAATGAGGGGTGAAAGTGGCCTCTAATCACAAGTAAGATGAAGGGTGAAAGTGGCCTCTAATTATAAGTAAAATGAGGGGTGAAAGTGGCCTCTAATCACAAGTAAAATGAGGGGTGAAAGTGGCCTCTAATCACAAGTAAAATGAGGGGTGAAAGTGGCCTCTAATCACAAGTAAAATGAAGGGTGAAAGTGGCCTCTAATTATAAGTAAAATGAGGGGTGAAAGTGGCCTCTAATTATAAGTAAAATGAAGGGTGAAAGTGGCCTCTAATTATAAGTAAAATGAGGGGTGAAAGTGGCCTCTAATCACAAGTAAAATGAAGGGTGAAAGTGGCCTCTAATAACAAGTAAAATGAGGGGTGAAAGTGGCCTCTAATCACAAGTAAAATGAAGGGTGAAAGTGGCCTCTAATAACAAGTAAAATGAGGGGTGAAAGTGGCCTCTTATTATAAGTAAAATGAGGGGTGAAAGTGGCCTCTAATCACAAGTAAAATGAGGGGTGAAAGTGGCCTCTAATTATAAGTAAAATGAGGGGTGAAAGTGGCCTCTAATTATAAGTAAACTGGGGAGTGAAAAGGGCCTCTAATCGATTAGAGCACCATGAACCATGTCCTTATTCTAAATACCCAGTAACAGGCACACACACACACCCACACCCACACACTCATATAATACAGGCCAGGCTAGACATTATACCCTGATCAGAGAGAGAGGCCGGCCTAATCATACCAAATATGGTATATTAGATCCAGCTCTATATTATAGCCGCTTTGGTGGGTAATTACAGGCGGGTTGAGGTGAAACCTGTCCGATAATTGCATGAAAATGGTGTAGATGGCAGTGTGTCAGTGTGATCTACTGGGATATATGGAAATAAAAGAGAAGGAGGGATGAAGGGTGAGTCTTGGTTTTAAGATTATGTATTTTCAGGCAGATCAGATGAAAGGTTAGATTAAATGGATCATCATTGAGACATGGAGGATAGAAAAGTTATTAGGTATTTATTAAGAATAGGACATAATAAGCGAATACAATTCTATCCAGGAGTCGTATCATTTTTGAGGGCGACGGTTTTACAATTTAAACTAACTGCTCACCCCTTGACCCAGTAAGAGAACAGGTTTGCCGTATCTGAGATGGCACTTCCAACTGTACCGACTACTGAACCCACCCACGTTATCCTGGTTGAGGTCTGCTGGAAATCCTGAACACGTAACATTGTGTTTGTCATGTGATGTGGTTTTATTATTCAAGTTTAGTTGTAGCGCATATTAAACGAAGGAGGCGGCCGGACGGGAAATAAGAATCGAGTGTTGTTTAGATTTGGGAAGAGTAAGGGGGTTTCCACTTTATATCGGAAATATTCCACACTAGTCCTGTATTACATATAACATCAATCAATCTCATCTTATCTAACTCAATCTAATTCAATCATAGTATCGTAGCTCAAGACCTCAGATTTAAACCTATGCTGGATTTCGATTATATCTAAACATTATAATATAATTAATTTTTTCTGCCTCATAGTAGATCTTTTGGTATTGTGTAAAGTGTAAATGTAATACATTGTTGTAAAATTTATTTGAATTTTCAAATAAAATTTGATTAATTCGCGTGTAAAAACCTCTAAATAGAGTTGAGTTGAGAAGACGTTCAGCTGTTTCCATTGGGCGTTCTCTTAACCTCCTCTTTCTCATTTCATTAGGAACCTCCCACTTCTTCAGACAGATCTCACGGATGTCCTGAGAAAATTAAGAGTGAGTGTTGACTGAGTGTTTCGACTGAGTGTTGACTGAGTGTTGACTGAGTGTTGACTGAGTGTTGACTGAGAGTTGACTGAGTGTTGACTGAGTGTTGACTGTTGTGCTAAGTCTTGAGATCTTATTCAGTCCAGGTACAAGTAATACCTGGACTAAATAATCTCTACATACCTGGACCAGGTATGTTATGATGTAAGATTTGACCACTGCTCCAATTTAAAACAAAAGTATGTTTCACGTGTTAAGTAAACTGGCATAACCTGCAAACCAACTCAGAGGTAGAATCTACAGTCATTCCAATTATACAGTACTCAGTTCAAACAAACAAAAAACACACGATCTACACAAACTAGCAGTAACAACCACCACTAAGTTACAACCACTCACATTCTGGTTAGTGACACTGAGACCGGGGTTTCTGACGTAATGTTTCAGTTTCCTCAGATGGTAGAGCTGATTGTCTCCAATAGAGTCGTTACTTCTGGTCATGTACCGACAGAATTCACTGTCTGTTATATAGTGTGAGAGGGGCACCACGTGTTGTATATCCTGAGTAAGAGATACACGTTACAATTAGTATGAGAAACTAGTTTACAATACAATATGAGTAAAAGAGACACGGGTTAGAGTTCATAGGACAAGTTTCGGCTTGAAGAATTGCGAAGAGAAAGTTATCAGCAGTGACGAGTTTAGCTGGTAAAAGATTTAATTTAAAAAAGATAATCTAAGTGCTTCCTTTATAACATTCTAGCACTTCATGACTTCACGCTTAAAGTTAAAGCGTGTTATAATTTATACAAGGTCTAAAAATTATACATATTTGTATAAGATTCCTAAAATATTTGAAAAACCACGCGAAACTTACTAACTCTGTCTGAGTCCGCGAGTTTTCTAATCTCCATGTTCAGTTTGAAGAGATACTCGTATAACAAAACTGCTACCTTTCGTTTACAGCCCAGACACAGAACGTACCTGAAGAGAGAGAGAGCTAGACTCATATACTGGGACCTTAGCTGGGACCCTTACCGGATACTGACAAACACCAGCTCCAATCATTGTAGTCTGTTATAATAGCTGATTTCATGAACAACACGCCGAATGTATTAGATTTTAAAGCACTTGAGTTGACTCATCATTGTTGCATGTTGCACTGCAGATGGTTACTCAGTACGCACTGCAGATACGGTTACTCGCGTTTACGCATTATAACGTATAGTATGACAAGTATCAAGGTTTAAACACATTTTCAAAAATTACGAAATCGAAAAGAAGATGCAATCTAAACATCTAAATACAGAGCCACAACATTTTATATCTTTCGTGTTCTTAACTTCCTCACAGTACTACAGTATAACAATTATCGGAATATCAGATAGAAAAAAGAAAATGAAAACAAACCTTTCAGAGTTTGCAGGGCGTGAGGTGAGAGGTTTAATAACAGCCACCTTCTCGAACGCGTAGCGCAGCAAGTGGACCAGGCCCACTGAGAAGGGCGTGTACAGGTCAAATGTCTTGCAGAGGAAATTACCGTCTGGGGGATATTTGGGGAATTTAGGATGAGGCTCAAATTGAGGTTGGTAATTACATAACTTTGGTGACTACATACTTAGATAATAGATAGAGCTTGGATAGTTGATAGCCAGTGTAAATGTAATTAAGTATCAGACAAAACAAGTATACTTCTACAGTTATCAACAGTTACTAAGTTATCAACAGTTAGTTAGCCTCAAACAAAAGTTATAAAGTATTTTAAACCCTACCCTGTCTGAGAACGGAAAGTGCACAAGCGAACTGACAGAGAAGTAGTTGTTTGGTTAATATTTCTTGGATATTCTCCTGTCCGGCAACTGATATACCTCCGTCCCCCATCACGAAATTAAGACCACCTGAAGATGGGCAGCGATTAGTGATCTTTAAATCTGGATTCTAGATATCATCATAATATTCTGATGACGCATCTTAATGTTATAGTACAGAATACTGATGCAAAAGTTTGGATGATTTTTCAAAAACTCAATTTTTTTCTTGAAATAAATTGAGCGAACGGTAAGTTGAACATTTTAAACTACACACAATCTTCACAAAGTAGAGAAACCCCAGTTTCTTCCAATTATTTAATTTCATTACGTTTTCGAAACGATCACCTAATCATGAAGTTTCCAATAAAGCTACAAGCATTGAAAGTGAAAACAAACCAAAATATAAGGTAGCAGAAAATTAGCTACAGCGCAGTGTAAAAATCGGGAAAAAAGCTGGTTCAATTTTTTAATTAATTTAATTTCATTTAAAAAGGTTATAAATGAACGCAGTATTTCATATGATTCTTCAAAACTTTTGCAGTTTCAAATTCTTCTCGACAACCTGGACAAGGCCCATGCGAAGTTTGTTTCACACAAGTATTCTGCTTGATGTGAAGATGCAAGGCAGATTTATTTGGAAAACGCACTAAACATGAATCACATAAATAGCCGACACGTTTGGGAGAATTTATCTCTCTTTTAACCCTGGAAGCTTTCATTGAACTGACTGTATTGTTCTGTTTAGTGCTATCAAGTTTTTCCGAATGCGTGTTTACTGAATTTATCACAGAAGATGAATTTCCTCCCCTCATTTCCGGTGAAACCATCTCACACTTTATATCCTTCTTTACCTGAACTCTTTGACAAATCATTTTCCTTTCATGTCGTTCTTTGCTGCTTTTTTGAGAGAAATGTTTGGAACAATAACTGCAAGCAATATCTGCCAGCACAACCTCTTTCTTTACCGGAGTCTTTCGGCATGTCATTCTTTGTTCATGGCGATCTCTACTACTTTTAAGAGAGAACCGCTTAGCACAATAACTGCATGCATGAGTATGATCGTTAGTAGCAACTGAAGGAGTACTGGAGATGGAGTGGGATAACAAATGGTAATCATACTCTATCTCCGTACTGAAAGAAGAGGGACACTGGTTACACCCGAATATATTACTTTTCAGAGTTCCTTTCTCTTGTGCACAAATGTTGGCATGCTTCTGTTTAACATGTTTTCCTAATTCTGTTGGAGGATAAAATAGCTTGCAATATCTGCAAATCCTCCAGGGCTTATGACATCTAAATTTATGATTGCTCATGTTTTGGAGGCTGTAAAAGATCCTACGACAAGATTCGACCGGGCAGGTTAGACCTAAAATGGGTTTAGCTAATTCCTCGTAAGAAAGTGACGATTTGTGCTTCCTTCGCAGGTGAATGTCATAGTACACTTGCGTGTTGAATTTCCGGTTACAATATTGGCAGACCAAAGATTTCCTTCCAGAGTTGATACACAAACGTCGTGCTACATGATTTTCCAGATACCAGCTGTTGGCGAAAAAACTGTTACATATCTTGCAGCTATATTTAGTTTTGATATAATGTCTCTCCCTGTGCTTTTCTAAGATGTCCCTGCGGTCAAATCTGAGTTGACAGTGTTTACAATAGTAACATCTACGATTCAATCGGGATTTAAAAGAAAGGACGTGATCTTTCTGTCTGTGCTTCCACAGTTGACGCCTTGATCCTTTGAAATCGTATTTTGAACATGCCATCAAACCGTTTGCCCTAGTAAGATGCTTCTTTAAATGAAATTCAAGTCCATTTTTGACTACCATCGTTCCACACTTCGAACAGCGGACTCGATCATTATCGTGCATTGCCCTCAGGTGTACGTTAAACCCAATCTTATTATAAGCCTCAAAAGAGCAAATCTCACAAATTAAAGCTTGATTTGGTACCGCTTTAGAGCCAGTTCCAACATTGGAACAACTCGGCTGGTCAACATGTTGCTCCTTCTCAATATCATCATTTGTTATGACTGGGTTCGTGATAGTTTCCACCACTTCGTACTTAACAACTCCACCAGAATCGGATAGCAATATGTTACTTATTGTACAATCTGACTGATGGCTGGTATTTTGGACTTCTTGGATTGTGAAGCTAGTGGAAGGTGGCTCAGATGAAGTTAATTCAAAATCTACTATTTCTTGCTTGATTGTAGAAGATCCGCACAAGTAACCATGCACATTATCCATAACTAACCTAGAGAAATTACAATATATCAGTAAAATACCATTTAGTGCAGTGGTAAGATCACAGCCCATGCAAAAAAAAAACAATTTTTTCACAGTCAAACTTAAAATAACAACCAACCGGTTTGTTGCATGACGTAGTCTTTGAACTCCTCCAAGTTTTCAGGTTTCAGTATGTCACCATCACCCTCAGCCCCACCGACTCCGTAGTAAGGTTCGAAACATTCCCCAGGACCAACCAGGAATTTGTTCATCTTGAAGTCGCTGGCCTCTGGAGCATTCCTCAGAGTGAGACCAAAACCTGAGATGGTTACTGTGTCAGGAGTCAGGACTTGGTCTACAGTATTTGAACTATTTAATGCGGTCAGAATTTTTAATTTGTGTCAAGAAACTTTTAGATTTGTCTGAACTTGATTTATCCGTATTGACACTGAAGCAAACGATCTGAAGTTTAGCTTGTGTTATCATACAGAAAATGACACCTTTTTTCCGAAACTCCAATCAATAGCTCACACGCCTACTAGTTACTACCCTGCCAATCACACTCTAGAACCAATAACCAGTCTTGTTACACCCCTACCTTTAGCATGCCACTGTGTTCTCCACAAGATATACTCGCTGAAACCGCCGGGACCTGCACAAATGTCCCCAAAGTAAATAGGAGTGGCCATGTTCTCGTAGTTCTTGTTCTTTTGGGTAAATGCCCATCCTGATAAAGCGTCCACCTCAGCCATCTTCATCGCCGCTCTGTGGGGTTGTTAACAATAAATTGATGATTGGAGTACATATTATAATATCTATTTGGCTCAAGGATAAGCAATATGTTATTATTTGTTCTAAATCTAATAGGTAGTGAATCATAAAGCGCAACTCGCAAGCAATAACCATTTATCCTGAACAATAATTGGAGAAAATTGTCCGGTCTCTGCAGACAGCAAACCAGTTCTAACTTATTTATCTCATTTAAAATTGGGATCCTAGGAAACTCCTAACGTACTGCATAATACATAACTTAATAATATGTAACCTGTTCTGGAAAATTACAGAAGCAATGCTCTCGAAAGGGTTACTCCTAGTTCTTGAATCTCTCAGATCTTTTTCTGGTAATTGGTCGAATATGGCTTTGGCTTTCTGTATTCCAAGAAGCAGTTCAGTCGAAACAAACCTGAATCAATGGTATTGGAATTGAGGGAAGGATCATTATTGTGAATGATCAAGTTTTGTGCGTATTCGTGGTGTGCATCTAGCGTGAATACTGAATAAAGTTATAAAGCTCCACAACAAAGTTAAACGAATAACATTAACAAGAGACAGGTTGTCATGACAACAATCACCTAGTTTCATCCTCTATCGTGTTCTTTCTTGGTCCGATGAGTTGCTGTATAGGGGGAGACTTGAAGTAGTTCTCGTCCAGTTCCACAGTGGGTTTAGACATCCACTCTACTGTGACAGTGGTGGAGATGGGACGTTCCTTCCAATCTTCTGTTGTGCTTTGGAAACCTGAGGTTAATACCGGGGTCAGGATCAACCGACAGCAGCATGTAAGAAATTAATAGAACTTGCATTGTTAGCATTCATATTAAATGCGGGGAATGAATTTTCCCGCAAAAGGCGGTATTTGGGGGAGATATGAGAAGACATTGAAGATTGAGCGGAAGAAAGTATCTAAATTGGATAACCACGTACCGTCAATGTAGTGACCAAGACCCCGGCTCCCTTTCTGAACACTAGCTTGTATAGGCTCTGTAATACCTTGCCCTTCTTTTCCTAGACCTGCCCCCTTCTCGTAGCCCATACCTCTCTGCGATTTGTGTCAAATTAACAGGTAGCAAGTGATTAACCAAGTGATTAACCATTTTAATAGATAACACTGCACTGTGATCCGAGAAACTAAAAATGATGAGGGAAATTTCAAAACAGTAAAAGTTCAGACCAAACATCAATGTACAGGGCCCTTTCTGACGAGACTTCTTGAATTAAAGAACTCAACAAACAACTAACCATCATCTTGAGAGCAGCCTCACTGTATCCAGTCCCACCGGCACTCTTGTTCCCCCCTTGTTCCACCTTCAACAGCTGGTCCCCCTCGTCCGACTTCGCTCTGTTGTGTTCCCCATGTTCACTGACGTGGGAGTGGACCCAGTCAGGATCAGAGCGTGATCCTCCAAGTAGGGTCTGTTCTGGTGGCTCAGCTAGGGAGGAAACGAGGGTGGTGAGATGTTACAGTACGTCATGTTGATGAAAAAATCATGAAAATCAGTCAAACACTCAAACTTGCAACCATGATCATATTATATCAGTCCACCCATCATTGAACTCCTCGTAACATCAGCTCACCTTCAGGGTTGGGAGACAACAGGCCCTGCTGGGGAGAGTAACTCTCTGTTTTATAACTGGGACTGAGGATCTCCCCGCCACTCAGAACGCCACCACCACTACTGTACTCGGTGTTGATGTGCTCCAGGAGCCGCTTCTTCTTCGGGGAGTAGTTGTTGTTCTCAGTGGTGGACGACTCATGGCGTTTTAGTGGGTTTTTTGAGTGGTCGTTGGTAGGGACCTCGTACCGTTGGATTGTTTGGACTTTGGTATCGATGTTTATCTCATCCTCGTCCGACATCCCTAGGTTGATGCAGGAAGTTAAGGGCGATGTCACTTCTAAAACGGGTGTATCATACGAAGGAAAATGAGGTATAAAAGGGAGAAATTGAACAATAATAAATTTTTAAAAGGAGTTGAGGTAGGCAAGCTATTTGACATGATGACCTAATAGTATCATTCCTCAATCCTCATCATTCACGATTCAGTCAGTCAGTATTTTCCATTGAAACAACAAAAAAAGTGTTCATCTTACAAGAGAACGCAGTACTTCATGTGACGTTTCAAAAATTGAACACTCTCAAAAACTTCCTGGCATCCTGGACAAGGATCACTTGAGAGTTTAGTTCCGCCCACTTTATGCTGACACACATTCTTTGTCTTGTGAGTTTTCAGACTGTACTGCGTAGTGAAACGTTTCAAACAAAAATCACAAACGTAGTCGTAGGACTTTTTGGCTTTTTTTGAGGATTTTTCTTTCTTTATTAGAAGTTCATTGGTATTTCTGCCCAAATGTTGAACTTCAGGATCAATATCTTCTGATTTAGTTATCGCCTGTTCAAAAATTCGAGGTTCATCTTTTGATTCAGCATCTTGAGGGAAAGAGTGGTACTTAACGGCTCCATCCATCTCGTAGGGCTTGCAATTTGTTCTCGACAAAGGAGGCGAATTCTTGCGGCAAACATTCTTCTTTTGGTGATATATCAGGCCACTTTTAGATGCAAAAGTGGTATGACAATATTGACACTTAGGTGAAGAAATGCAACTCTTTTTATTGTGAAACAGCACATGAAGATCAAACTCGATTTCTTTTGTAAAAGAAATTGAACACTTTTTACATTCCATTTTGTTCAGCGACTTGTGTTTCGTTCGTTTGTGGTATTCAAGATATTGACTGGTACTGCAGGTTTTATCACAGAAAGGGCAAGGCAATGTTGCTCCGTCCGAATCTTTGCATTTCGAAGATACATGAAATTCTAGGGTCCGAACGTTACTAAAAAATTTATCGCAGTTTTTGCAACGATAGTTTGATTTGAGGCGCATGCGGTGTCTCATTTCATGCTTTTCGAGCCGATGGCTATTCTGAAACTTGAGATGGCAAGTTGTACAAGCGTACTTATTTTTATTACGATTTCGTTGCCAAACAGTGAGGGAGCCCAAATGCTCCTGACGTCGATGCTTCACAATTTTGGTTGTAGTTCCTTTGAAGCCACATTTCAACGAACAAGAAAAGGGGCCGTTGACATGGTCTTTTCGATGAATCTCGAAACGATATTTAGAAAATAGTATTCCACAGTGAGGGCATCGAATCCGATGTTTTGATAAATTTACGGCATTGCCATGCTTATATCGTCGATGCAAAGAAAGTCCCACTTTGTTAATTCCAACATAACTGCACTGGGTACAAGAGAAAGTATCACTACTAACAACAGAGTCTGCTTGAAGCTCTGATGATGAGTTTTGAGATTCTCTTGGTGTTGGACCATCTTCTGTCACCGCATTCCTTACACTTGCTTCCTGTCGGTCTGGTTCATTGTTTTCAACAGCCAACACTTCATACTTAATAATACCGTTTGGCCTCGATATAGATAAGTCCGTAATTTCACAATCAGCCCCATTCTTTAGAGTGATAAATTCTTGTTTTATACAGCACAGTAGATCAGATAAACGAGGGTCTGTGGACAATCTTTCCAAATCGACACTTTCTTTTTTGATGGGAAACACTTCCATGGAGACATTCATGATACCTGTAAAAGTGTATTGACATATGGATAGGAGGAAACTGTTTTCTGAGGATCCGGTCTGGATAGGGTTCATCACAATTTCATGTAAAAACTATTTAAACTAGGTTCATACAACATTGTTATGAAGCTACATGGTTACCCAATATCTGACGCTACAGGGTCAGAGGGGCTATCTCTGAGCTTATTTCATCGAGCTGGAGTAAGAACTTTACTTCAACAAAATTCTACAGGATAATAATTTCAAATTGATGTTCTGACATGGCCATAATCAAGAATTTAAGGAGTCAATTTGGTTGATAGCAAGTTATATGCAGAGATCAATAAAAGTAAGCGGGCTATGATGAGATGACGATAGAAATTTACACCTAAACATGAAAGTTAATAAGTTAAATGAATTCAAATACCCTAGCACATACCCGAAAAGACATTTAACTAGTACTATCGTCTGGAAATTTTTTTCTTTTTTTTCTGCTGCAAAAATTCTATAAAACAGAACATAATTTAAATAAAAGTTTTTTATCTATATTATAATATATAATAAGAACCAATTTTCGATTTTTAATTGGAATTATGAACTTTGCATTGGCAAGACAGGCCTAACCTTACAATCACCTTACAATCTAAATCCTTTATCCTACTCGTGTATGAATGTTGATCACAAAATTAGTAATTCCCACAAAAGTATGAAAAACATTTACATATTTCAAAGAACATTCCACACATAACCAACGCTAAGCTCAGAATCACAGCAAAAGGATTTATTAAATAGAAACCCTAAAAGTAAAATTGAAACTCTAAGACTTGGGACTTCGAGACATGAACTGCTCAACGGTTGCATCTGTGACAGCAGCTCTACTTTCTTGGAACGTCTTTACAATACCTTGTAACTTCTCTATCAGTAACTTCTTTAGCTCACCTGCGGATAATCAAGTTGATGAAACTGTCATGGACTTTATCATTATCTCTAAATATGTTGTCGCTACATAACACTGAATTTAAGAATAATAGTTAGTTAAGTGGGGAGGATTTGTGTACGTCTTAGAATTGTACATTATTCGACAATTGAAATCCAAAAGAAAAATTTTCAGAGCTTAATGCAACACACTGTGACCCTAATATTATGTTATTAAAATACCATTTTTTGATAGTAAGTTCCACATAAAGCTAATAATGTAGCTAATAATGTAGCTAATAATGTAGCTAATAATGTAGCTAATAATGTAGCTAATAATGTAGCTAATAATGTAGCTAATAATGTAGCTAATAATGTAGCTAATAATGTAGCTAATAATGTAGCTAATAATGTAGCTAATAATGTAGCTAATAATGTAGCTAATAATGTAGCTAATAATGTAGTTAATAATGTAGCTAATAATGTAGCTAATAATGTAGCTAATAATGTAGCTAATAATGTAGTTAATAATGTAGCTAATAATGTAGCTAATAATGTAGCTAATAATGTAGCTAATAATGTAGCTAATAATGTAGCTAATAATGTAGCTAATAATGTAGCTAATAATGTAGCTAATAATGTAGCTAATAATGTAGCTAATAATGTAGCTAATAATGTAGCTAATAATGTAGCTAATAATGTAGCTAATAATGTAGCTAATAATGTAGCTAATAATGTAGCTAATAATGTAGCTAATAATGTAGCTAATAATGTAGCTAATAATGTAGCTAATAATGTAGCTAATAATGTAGCTAATAATGTAGCTAATAATGTAGCTAATAATGTAGCTAATAATGTAGCTAATAATGTAGCTAATAATGTAGCTAACCAGTAAGCATAGCCCCACTCTCATAATCCCCCTTTATCTGAGCTAGTTTCGCGTCGTCCTCTTCAAAGAATGTTAAGTATTTGAAGGACACGTCCACGCTGGTATCACCCCCGAACTCTCGGTGCTCCTCAACTGACACTTTACCTCCTTGAAAGGTATTCAGGTTTGAGTGACCAAATGAGGAGATATCAGATTAACTATGTTAGCCTGCACCAGTGGAACGATTTGTGGCTGGTTATTAATGTTCTACGATCTAGAACTCGGTTCTAACATATTTCTTACATTCTCTGATTGCCAGTTTGGATGAAAAGTAAACCTGAGAAAGCGTATTTGTTGATCTTTTTCTTGATCTGGTTTGCAGTATCGCACACCTCCACAGCAGAGTTAACTTCACTGGAACTCATCTTCGTTTGAGCTCCTGGAAAAAATAAATGGACGAATATTACTTTAAGTAATTTATCAGTATCATTCATTTAGGTAGTTAGCAAGAGTAAAAAGAATATAGTTATGTTTGAACTTTGAAGTCTCAAACATAACCGCTCTTATATGGTTAACCACCTTGCTTGTGTTGTTGGTTAATCATGTGAGCGGGACATAAATACCTCATTTCAAATTAAACTCGGACTAACCCTGTAGAGCTGGTAAGAAGGTGGAGTGAAGAAGAGCTGGTTTGGGAAGACTTAATCGTGGGGCAACGTCTCTTGTCATACGGAAATAGGGGTCCTGGGAAGATGGTTCAAATCATGGTTTGACTCATCACCATGATAGTGTGATCAGAGAGCATGAATTGTTCTGGACTGACAAAAAGATCCTTTCAAATTTCTTATCTGTGATCGTGGATATCAATTATTTCTAACAACTTGAAAGGAAATATAAATTATAAAATCTTCTTAACAATATTAATCGAACCTGATCAATGGCACAAGGGATAAGGCAGGGTACCTTCCGGTTCCCAAACAAGTGGGGGAAGGAAGTACTGAAACTAGGGGCAGCTTGTATGGCTGGAAATGATACTTTCCCGATGTAACTTGTCTCATCAAAACCGAATATCTTTTGTGCTTGGTTGAAATTCACGCATTTCTGAAGAAAAAAGTCGTGACGTGAATTTTGTTCTATATTCCAAGAGTGAAAGCTATTCGGGAGATTTAAGTTTAAGATTGAAGTTATACACAAAAGTGATTGTAGAATAAGATTCATTAAATTTTTAAATAGTTTTAACACTAAAGAATACGCTAGTCGGCATCAGATTTTGAGATATTTGATTCAATATAATGCTATAATGCCATATAAAGTAACATACTTGTAACATGACGTATGAAACTAACCTGAATTCTGGCTATGTTCCAATAAAATTCCTTGCAGCTGGGAATGTAGTCCAGATCACAGAATATAAATGTTTTCTCAGGGTTGAATCCGAACGCAATGATGTCCTGATAAGGTTTAAAAGGTGATAAATCAGACGTGCATATTATCTTTTATTATAAACAAACGTTCTAGCCGTCTTAATGACTGATCACTGATTTATACTGTATAGACATATAATACATAGTAATTGGCATTTAGGATTGCGAAACAAACACTAATAATTGACTTGTACATGTGGATCAACAATCACTTTGTATTCACATAATAAACATAATTTACATCACGCTGAGTTCCAATAAGTAACTAACATAGATGAAATTTGTAAATCATGGAACTCAGAACCATATAAAATACCTCATGACATTATTCATCTTACTTCTGAATAGAACTAACCTTGATGTTAAGGTAAGCCAGTCTATTGGCTTCCTCCAAACTCAGGTCTTTCCACAGGAACTTCTCATCGTCAGTCATCTGTATAACAAGGGGCACATCAAACACATCCTGCAGCCATCTGGAGGAGGGTTATCCATGTTATATTGATCATGTCAGATGTAACATGTAAGTACAAAATACAAACAGACTTTAAGACTCAAGTTGTAATTATTACTAAAGGATTTGTCAATATTAGGCCTTGTTCAGATTCGAAAGTTCAAACAGCCAGATCAATAAAAGTTAAATATTACATTATTTAAGTTATATTATACAATAACCTACTTGGTGAACATGAAAGGGACACAGTGTCCCATATGAAGGGACCCGGAACTAGGACCTCTACCAGTATACAAATAAAAGGGCTTCCCTTGCTCTTTTAAGGTCAGTATGTGGTCGAAGTCTCGGTGAGAGAAGACAATACCACGACGGAGAAAGTGATGAGGCTCATGACCTGCCGGACATTTCAGGATTTCAAAATGTGTAATTATGATTTACATATCATAAGTAATGAATGATTTGATTGGAATATTTTGCAATTCAATCGAAGACTCACTATGCACTACATAGATCAGAGATATTTATTTTCCTCAAAACAAATAAGTTGTCTACGTTTACCGACCTGTTATTTTAGTAAAACGGTCTAGCAGCTCCGGTGAAATTTTTTGGGAGCCGAATTTCTTTATTAACTTGTCGTAGTCTATTCCTTTCTCATCCTCTCCTTTAACATCCCACGGGGTGATTACCTGAGATAAGGAATGTTTAATTTAATATAAAAACTTGCATACCTCTAAAATCTTACATTTCTTAAAATTTTCACAAATTACATGTGAGCCAAGTCGTATGTTGTTATAACAACATAAATGTATACAATATAATATGTTATGGAAGAAGAATTATTATAATATCAAACATCTAGTTAATTTAAATACATGTAACTAACCTGTTCGGCAATTTCGCAGTTTTCGAGGTTTTTCTCTAAAGGTTGGGTGGTCATATCAGAATAATACCGAACAAAATAAACAGTCCTGTTGACGGATACTTGAGCTGGTTTTACCAAAAGCTCAGAACAAGGGTAGAGAGAACGTTGCTGCTGGAGACGTTGCTGCTGGAGAGTCTTTACAAGTAGCTTCCGGAAGTGGCGGGCTAAGATTATGATTGTATCATTCCATCAATATATCTGAGGTATGTTGTTTGAATGTCAAAAATTGTGATTACTAAAGTTAAATTTCCCGCTAGTATATAAACTTGTGAATAAACAAATAACAACAAATTAATTTGAAAGTATAAACAGGAAGCTAATGGTGCTGGGATTAACAATAGAACTACGTTATCTAGGTGTGTAAAGTATAATCTCTAGACACTATATCAGTAGTACAATAGGAGTAAACTGTTGGTACTTTCATTGTTCTACACAGCTACACTTAGTTAATACAGTTAATTATGTAGTTTTGTAATTATGTAATTATGTTCCATACTTACTGAACTTCTTGGTGAAGATAGAAATGAAATTTCGAACTCAGTGAAGCAAGGAACATTGCAAAATAATAAAGTTTAATGATGTCACAATACATGCAATGAAATATAGCTTTAACGTGACGAAAAATAGGGTATCGTTTTATAGAGGGTTTCTGAATACAAAATTAAAATTAAAAATGATCCTTGGTACTAAGGTATGGTGATGCTCAAAAACACACAAAGAACACTGAAATATCATTGTCTAAGACACCCGTTATACACAAGACATTTGAGACAGAGATTGTTCTAGGTTCGTTAGAGATAAGAGAAATTCTCCTGTGTATACTACAAAGTATTTAATATAACTCCTATATATAATATAGTACATTAGAGCAATTTCCATTAATAATCAAATCTAACATAAACATAAATTATGGAGTCCACCGACCCCCTTCTGTGTTTGATTGTTCGGGCGAGTCCCAGGCCGTGGATCTGACATAAGTTGAGTGTTCACGCGACCGTTCCTGCGCAGCTTCTGCGCTGAATGCAGCTTGGTTCTGCTCGTGTTCTCTGCTTAGATTTCTGATTCGGCGCTGCATGTTCTCAAGATTGCGGCTTGCTGCTGCTGCTGCGTTCGGTGATAACGCCCTCTTTTTACTCTTGTGCTTCTTATCTGGATAGGGAGAATTGCCAGTGTTAACGTTGATATTTGAACATATTCCAGAGTAGTAACTAATTTTCATAACGAATAGGTTTTTGTGATTAAACTGAATATAAAAATGACAGAAGATTTTTTGAGCAATTGATGATGCTACGTGGTACAACAAAATAACGCAACCTGACCGTTCAATGTTCATTTCAATTATTGAACTTGCTCCAAACTTGCTCAACAAAAATGTAAATGGGATTGAATGCCACATAATGCAAATTGTTTTACGTTTTAATTTCCCTTTCTTGGACTTTTTCTTTTTCCCGGAAGTTTTGATTTCCCCAACCCAGTGCAGGAAGGGACATGTATCTATCGAGCCACACTGTTTTCCGTAGTAACACGGTATCATTTTCTGAAGAATAAATTGTAAGAGTCACTATTTAATAATGATTAATGTCATGGGTGAATAATATTTTGAACAATAATTAACATAAAGATCGGGCTAATTTTACAGATCGTCATGGAATTAAATTCAATGTGAAAATAAAATAATAATGGGAAGTAAGTTGACTCCTTCACATTGCAATTCTATAAAAACATTATGGAATTAATATAGCATTGTAACTTATAATGTATGTAAAAGTATGTGTATAATCTCAATAATTTCAATAATTTAAAGATTGAACATACCTGAACGCGTTTGTTCTCTGTGTCAGTGTGAGTGTATTTACATTGTCCAACTCTACATGCCGTGTTGAACTTACACAGAGGGTGGATCTTATAGCAACTGTAAAATATAATTACACTATAATATATTTTACTAACGTTGAGCGGTAAGGATTGACATTTTCATAAGATTCTATGATCATATTTTCAATTTCACACTATTTTCTAAGGTCATTATTATCGATGAAGAGTCCTAAAATCACTCGAAAAAACTAACCTTAGCACTGCCTCACAGTTGGGGAATTTCTCGCACGGTTCAAATGGGTGATGTTGAGTACAGGCCTTCAAGTTGGGACAGTCTGGCCAGAACTTGCACCTAGGAGTAGAAGGAAGGGTGTCATCTCCCGAGAGAGGTTGACGGGGGCGCGGACCTGCCGCTGCTCCCGCTGACCGCGATCCCTCGCATTTCTCATATTTGTATCTGAAAATCGTCGGGACTACTGACAATTTAGCACCACGAGGTCACCACGATCACAATGAGGCAAATAATAAACAGCCTTGAAATTTAAAAAGTTAAACAACAGAATTATGTTGGAATGACCATGTACCTAACATTTACTCTGGACTGCTTGTCGTTCAGTTCGTTAGTCACAACCTTGGTGGCGTGGACCAGTTCTCGCTTGAACTCGGACATGTCTATGCTGGGGACTGCATTTCGAACCACGCCCACCTCCACTCGTCCCCAGTCGTGAGATGCTTGGTGTGTTCTCCCTGGCTTGTCTGGTATGTCCTCTGAAGTAACGTTATGGAGTTATAACCTCACACGACATTTTGTACGATTGACTAAACTATGAGATTTAATAATTTTGTCTCACCTTCAACAGCAAAGACTGAACATTCAATTATGATAATGAAAAGTGCACATGATAGCTGATGATCTCACCAATGTAGTATAATGTTATTTATCAAAGAAAGTAGTATTATTTACCAAGTTTGATAGCAGGACAGATTGACATGATGATAGGTTTTCCAGTGTTGGGATCAACTCCCAGTTCCACTATCAGCGGCAGTTTTATACCCTCCATCTGATGCTTTGCCTCCACCTTTCTAGTGTCTTTGTTTGCCGTTACTGAAATAAAGATATATTTCAATACTGGACAAGAGGTAGCATACAACTAATAGAGTATGATAACCTCTTACCTGTATTAATGATACTGAAATCTCGCTTTATATAAATTTACTACTGTAGTAACTCAGGTACATTTAACTAACCTTTAATAGTAGCACTCTCAACAGCCTCAATAAAACTAGAAGCAACAGAAGCGTATTTAGAAACAGACTTGTTCCTAGATCCTCCACCCTCCTCGTCACTTATATCGCTGAATTCCTCGCCCTTGTGCTTTTCTTTTCGGTAATTTCTGTGCCTTCTCTTTCTTTCTGCTTTAGGGATAATTGACGGGCTTTCGTCTTTCCTGATACACATTTTGTTTAAGTCAAGATTTCGATGGCCGGTGAGGGAAAACAACTTGATAGGTACATCGAAGGATCGTGATCGTTATGTACGGTTGAATTTTAAATACAAATATATAAGAATCTAAAACTTGGAGAGAACAGTGAAAATAATAACAAAATTAATGATCCTTACTCTTGATTGTGGCTCTCCGATATCATTTGCCTCTTTTCCTCCTCCAATAATTTTGGAAAATCAATAGCTTGGATCGCTTTCAAAATTTCCAATTTATGTTCAATCTGTGGATCGGGTTTCGTAGGTAATTGACTTTTACTAATTTTTTTATTCTCTTTTTTGACCAACTTGTCTGATCTCATTTTCCCAAAACCATTGGTTTTCTCCTCTTCCGACCCAGATTCAGAACTAGAAGAACTTGACGAAGACGATGAACTGGAGGATGTTGAGGAAGAAGATGAAGAGGATGAAGATTTCCTACGCTTCTTTCTTCTTTTTTCTAGTTTAGCTTCCTGTGGTGGCTCAGAGGAAGAATCTGATATGAGCTCTTCAAGTTCGCTCTTTTTTACAACTGGTTCTGCTACCACTGGCTCTGTAGGTAGCAAGTTTACTTTCATTTTAATCCAATAAAAAACCTAAAGAATAAAGATGTCTTGACGATATGCGTACATGGAGGCAGAGATGCGAAAACATTGGTTTAGGCTAAAAACACAGGTTAAGTTTTATTCGAAATATTATATCTCTACTGCTGCTTCTTGATACCAAATTACCAAACACTGAAAAACACTGAAGAAAAGTAATCTGAGGATATAATTTTAGGTACATACCAGATGGCTCCTCTGGACTTAGCATACTGAACAGCCTGTAAAACATACAGACATTACTTCAAATACATTTTAAGTTGCAACTATTAATTTCGGGAAAAAATGTCTCCAAACCTGAAGCTAGAAGCTACATTTAAATAAATCATAACATTTATTGCATGTTAACTAGTTACTAATTCTTACCATGGAGTAAAAACAGCGGACTGCTTTCCAAGGAAAGGTTCCAACTCAGCCTGTACTTCTGCTGCAGTCTTGTAGTTGTGTAACATGACAATGATGTACTCTGCAAACTCGTCATCTCCAGGACATTTCAACTCTTCTATCTTCTTCGTTATCAATTCCTGAGGTAAAGAAATGGTCATGTCAAGCATGAATCTGAGAGCTAAGGCAATTTAAGTATTAAATTTCAAATCTGCAGATGTCATAATCATGAAAGCATCAACATTTAACAATAAGAGAGCACAATAAAGCAGTTTCAAATCTTTTATCTTATCATTACCTTTACGTGGAAAGTGGAAAGTCCAGTCTTCTCCAGCAAAGACATGGGAGCTACAAAGAGATTGAGGTGGTCTCATAGTTCCACTGGAGATTTCATTATTAAATAAATAAATAAACATTTACAATTATTCATTTATTTCACGTTTACTTCATCTTCTACAGATCTTGCCATATGGGATATTCATATTTTTGTTGTCAAATAATTCAAACCTATAAAGGATGACTCTGTATTATTATCTAATTATAGCTATGAAACAGGCACACTAGTTTTAGGAGTACCTATAGCTTTGATTGAAAACTATTCAATCCGGTACATGCTACTTTTTAGTCTTTCAGGGTTTTACAATTGAAATAATTGACTAACTGATAAATTGATTACAAAATATAATTAAAAGGTTGGGCTTTCAGAGAAGAAAACAAATGGTAAACAGAAAATTGATTATGTTACATGGTAATATTATGTTATATTTCATGATCATAATTACAATTCAGATAAATATTCGTTGGTCAATAATACAAATTATCCAATATATATGATTGTCATATCATAACAATAAAGCATCAAATAATCAGATTAGATAAAGTTAAATCGACAGTTTATTTAAGTTATTAAGTTATTATTATTAAAGTTAATAAGAATCATGCTATATAATATTCAATGCTAGTACAGTTCTTAAAACCTATCTGTATCAGAAAAACAACACAAATAGAGTTTTATCATATTAATTTTATCACAAGCTTGTTGTGGAACATTGACTTTAAGTAAATCAAAGTTGTGGTTAAGAGTGTTCAGCTAAATGGAACAAGACGGTACAGTAAAACCTTGATTTACCCCAAAGTTTGGGAGAAAGGAAAAACTGCGGTAAATCAGGGTTGGCAGTAAATCGGGGTTTTGATTGGGACATTATGTATGCTAAGCCCTATTTGGGGAAAGGAAATAGCCACAGTAAATCGAGGTTTGCGGTAAATCGGGGGTGGTAAATCAGGGTTTTACTGTACAATAGCGGTTACTAGCAATAGGTTAGAGTTTAATTATCATAATATTGTCTCCAGAATTGTCTGGCTTTAAGTGGGTTCTATTTAGCAAAAGATATAATCATTGTGAAGATGAAAGTGACCCTTCTAAATGGTCAATGATCACATCCATCATTTCAACTCATTAAGCAAGTCAAGTCTAAAATGTCTCTTATCTACTGCCACATGATTTTTGGTGGGTTTTTAAGTAGATTTTCAGAGCAAATCGTTTTCCACATTCAGTGCAGGCAAAGTTTTTCTCACCAGAATGCAATATCAAATGCTGCCTCAATGTTGTCCTTTGAGAAAAATATTTCCCGCACAAATGGCAGCCAAATTCCTTTTTATTTTCAGTGACATGCACTCTACTATGAAGCAATACTTCCCTGTGAGATGCAAACACCAATCCACATTTTGTACAAGTTCTTTCTGACGATTTGGTCTTCAACCCAGATGCCTTGGTTCCCTTTTCAGTTTTTGACTTTTGAGGGGCTTTTCTTTTCCTGTTGCTAGAACCGGGATTTGATACTTTATCATTAAAGAGATCTCCTTTCTGCGAGACAAAAGAAGGGAATTGTAAAAATTCTGGATTATCTGGCATTTGAAGATCTCTACCAGCATTTTTGATCATTGTTGGCATGGATGATCCAGGACCAGAAGGGTTGATCAATCCTTGAATAATACAGAAACAGTCTAGACCGTGACAAGCTGGGCACCGTCTATGTTGCTTCAGTGTTCTTCCATCTTTGTCTGTGATCACTGGCTGGGTTTCTGATTTGATAGGTTCAGTTTGCTTTGATTTGTTATTTCCAGTATCCAGCGTTAGAAAAGGCTCAAGTCTGAAAAGGATGATTTTTAAAGAAAAATTTGCTTCCATTCAAGGATTAGGACACCCACTTGCACTGCTTGTTTGGTGTTAAAATTACGAACATTGTGGACAGTGCCAATTTTTGTGGACAAATCTGTTCTACTATAGATGGAAGAAATGGTGCTGCAAACGATTTTTGAATTTCTAAATTATAACCTCTCCAGGGGCTTTGAGCCAACATCAGCCAAAAAAGGTGATTTTAGTTACTTGACTTGAAGGAAATGATACAATGAATTATAAAAATACCTTTTATCATATGGTACAAGTGCAGGATTATAAACTTTAAAAGGTAGTAGGTCATACAGTCGGATTCTATTTGTGAGCAAACTGGTAGCAGGAGGAGTGGAAGGAACAGCCAAAGGTGGCCTATTTATTATGCTATCTGCCTTCAACACTGTCTCTTTACTGCTTCTCAGATTGTTCTGCTCATCAAGGTCAAGCAGAGTTATGTAATTCTTGTTGGATTCCTCATAGATTGCAGCTTTTGTTGGAAGGGTAGATATCTCCCCGATTTGCTGCATATCCTAATAATTGAATTTTGTCAATTTCATAACATTTAACACCTCAAGCATTACTATGTTTATCAAATAATTTGAGGATCTAATGATGGGAATAAAAACAAATACTTCAAGGAGATTAGTGTTGTAGTGGCAGTTTCCAACTGCAACGTTTGCAATTGAATACTTTCAAAACAACCTAAATTACATAGTGCGATGATATTTTGTAGACATGTGTGATGATGTGATGTCATAAATTTTACTTCACTTTACTTTACTTTATGAAGTCAGCTGGTCTTATCTTGCGTGTAGAAATGCCCCAGTGGCGTAACGTTGCCTGTTGGCGCCCCCCTGCCGAAAAAAGCGCCCCCCTGTTGGCGCCCCCTCCCCTGTTGGTGCCCCTCCCTAAAATTGAACAAATTAGGTGATTTTAGAGAATACGCCGGTAAAATCTCTAAAAAAGTGTGTATCTAGAGCAAAACGCGCAGTTTTGCTAGTACTTTAGTTAAGTTTTCGAAATTGTCCCACATTCAAACGACGATTTGGCGCCCCCCTAAGACGGCGCCCCCCTGCACAGCGGGGTCAGCAGGGCCTTTCGTTACGCCACTGAAATGCCCTCAAGTTAAAAACTTGTAAACTTATATTTAACAGTGGTCTCTAGAAACCAAGTGCAAATCATATTTACCCATAATGTATTTATTGACTGACGCGGGATAGTTTTAAAATCCGTATTGTATATTGTATATAAAGTATTTTGTTGACAAATGAACTCATTTCCTAATTTTAACTAATTTATTCTGTTTTAATCTAATATTATAGATTATAGTAATATATGTTACCAGCACATTACAATACCTTATATACCTTTTTTTATGGGGAAAAAAACGCTTTAACTATCAATGAGAGTACAAATTTTTAATTCTTGACCTTAGTGCCACAGTTTCTGTGGTAAAAACAAATTTATAGTTAAACGTTATATATTGTAGAAGGGCATGATTTACTCACATCACTAAGCATCTGGATGGATAATTAGCACACAAAGATAAACTGACCTTTAAACATGACCACCAGCTATACCACGCAACCATAGCTCCGAAATAAACAAATTGCTCTACATAGAAACATCTGGCCTGATCCTATCACATTGTGGTCCCCAGGGGTTCGGTAAAGCCCTTACAGGCAACTGGGTCCTTTTACCAGCCACAATAAAATTGATCATGCCAGTACTGTCATAAACTGTAACCAACTATTTAAAAATTAGATATCCTTTGCTAAATTTTAAATTTTAAGTCATAGAGCAATCTTCTCAATTTTAAAATTTTTAAGAATTATATTTTACCCTAACTATGATGTGGTGGCATTTCATACTTAACTAAATTTCAACTTTGAAAGTAAATAGATTATTAGTGACAACAAAATTATAGTTTAAGACATCCGTTCTGCATTGTGTTTCCAATATTAGAATTTATGATATGTATTGATTGAATAATTGGTAATAAATTTAACTTTTGTTTTATTAAACTTTTGTTTTATTATGTTAGGAAGCTTTTATCGGGCCTTATATTAGTAGGGGGATTTGTTAAAAGATTAAGGATATTGTGTGGACATCCTTCAGTAAAATTTTTAAGGGAACATTAGTTAAAATACCAGGTTCATGCCACATCATGTGCAATCACTGGCGAAAGCTTAAGGATGCATTGGGATTGTGCCACCTACATTGTCAACTCCAGAAAATGATCAAAAAACTATAATTACCTTACAAGACATATTTATAACGTACGAAATGTGGCGGTTTTCCGAAAATTTCGCCATATTTTCGGACCGCCAAAATTTCGGTCGTCGTAATAGAATCCGTCGCATTATCTTTTAGCTTATATCAATGACTGTGCCTTCACTGCTTTATTTTGTTTCTAAAAAGTAATATCAAGTAAAATAAATAAATAAATTCTGGCATCTTGGGACAAATTATCACCACACCAATGACGAATTGAATGTCAAGCAATACAGTTTAAATTTGCATTAAAATACATGTATGTGCTAACATGAAAGTCTTACAGTTTTAATACAGACTAAGTTTGAACATGATTTTACCGAATTTCAGAAATTTCCTTACTGCTTACTGTCACAAAAAATGATGAAAAATACCCTTATTTTCTGTGACGTCCGAAATTTGACGGTTTTTGTTCAATTTCGCCATATTTTCGGACCGCCAAAATTTCGGTCGTCGCAAATTGGTCCGCCACAAAAAAGTCTTGTAAGGTAATGGTACACTACTTTCCCTGGCTATGGAAGATCTTTTGGATTCCCGTAATTGTACGTTCGCTTTTCCATACAATCACATATATAGTTTGTCAGCGCAATTTAAGTAGGAGTACCACATTTGATAGCGTAGTGGTAGCTTTCATAATTTGTTATCGAAGATGGTATGTTTTTACATTTAGTTCTCTGCTAATAAAATTGCTGAGAAAAGAAAAACATCAATTTGTTATTGGACATCTAACAACCATGATCAGAAAAAAAAAGAAAAAAAAAGGGGGGGACCCCCAACCCATGTAGCTGAGACACCTCACAGCAAGTAGATCAAAGTGGCTCTTGCTTGTGAACGGTGCGTCAATTACCCGCCGAAGCGGTGGGTTGGGAGTCCCCCCTGGGATCATTTCGTCCGTAAAATTATATACAACATAAAATAGTACAGTAAAATATCAAAATTTACATAAACAAATCTAGGAAACCTCAAAGCTCGTCTTCTGGGGTCAACCATGATCAAATGTTCTCTTTTCATATTTGGATACTTAATTCTCTAGTCTGCGAAAGACATTAAATCGAAGGGTCAAGCAAGGCCTTTTATTGCACTGCAGCAGTTTTTAGCCTTATATTGGTATATTAACTACTACATAATATTAGGTAAAACATATTACATATAAGGCTCTTACGTAATCAGTAGAATAAAAATTCGCATATAATTCACATTCAAAAATTTACAAATAAAAACGTTGTATTATGTTTGGCTTCAAACTTAAACATGTTATTTTTAAAATTTATAATAATATAAATACCAACATTTTCGTTTCGCTTATCTGATTATGATTCATTATTTAAAATAACCAAAAATACACATAGCCATGAGTCCACACGTACTGCGTGACGCGCTTGTTTCACAAGTAAAATAGCACAACTCCTGTGATGCCGTTTGGCGGTTACTGGGCACAGGGGGACTGAAGTGCAAAAAACTACTGCTAACTACTGCTAACTGCTGCTCACTGCTGCTAACTGCTGCTAACTGCTGCTAACTGCTGCTTATAACTGCTGCTGTCGCGCGCGCCATTTGCAGCAGTTAGCAGTAGGTTTGAGTTAGCAGCAGTCAGCAGCAGTTTCTTTGCACTTTAGTCTTCTTGTGTGGGCGGCGATCTTCATGTATCACGTCGTGACCCCCTGCATTGTGCATTGTTGTTTCACTAAGTATAACATGTAAGCGTTTCTACGATACAGGGGCCAGAGCCGCACACTCGTGCGCGGCGGGTCATAAACGTATGACGAGGCGGCACTCAGCCTGTCATTCCGCCAAAGTCTCTATTCTATGATTATGAACATAAATACAATAGCCTGGGATCCCCACGTAATTCGGCGGACGCGCGCTACTGCAAGCGAAAGCTAGTGGGCTCTGGTTAGAGAAAACCAAAAAATAATTATATAAGTTCATATTCTCTAAGTTAGGCGCCGTTCAATATTTTTCATTTTGCATTATGTGTTGTGGTCTTGACTTGATTGACGATGTCAATCCGTCGAGATCGTTGCTTTGCGAAGCAGAGCAACGATCGACGACGATGCGAAGCAAGAGTGCTAGTTCGCGCGGCGCGTCGAAGTCCTCCAAGGTCTTGACGGATGTTACTCGTCTAAATTTCTTCGAAGTAGCGCGCGCCGCTTTCTTCTCGAAATGTTAGCCAGAGGTGAGAGGCAAATCACACGTGCAACGAAGTAGCGCGCTTTTTGTTGTAGCGCGATGCACTACTGGGTCGCACGCGCATCAAATAATGCTTCTCGTAGGTAGTGCGCCATCGACAGTGAGCCGCGCGTGCCGACTGTAGGATGGTTTTTTAGCGCTAATTTCGGCCAGCACAATTTTCTTCAAACAAATAGATATTGAGTATCCTTCCCGACCTCCGATTGCAACAAAAATTGGTAACCTTACTTATAGACTTACAAGGACAGTGTCCGAAAAATTTAAAGCATATCCAACCATCAGACATTATGTTACAGCTTAAAGCAGCGTATTTTGCCCCATTTTGATCACTATATCAACTCCGATATCCACCAAATTTTTTGGACAGTTGTGAAAGCCCTATTGGAAGGTCGTCGCCAATTTTCAGAATGATCTCATTTAAGGAACTGAAGATATATCCGAATAATACGACAAAAATCAACGAATTTGATCAATTTTGATCAAATTACGCGACTTTTACAGCTACTTTTGCTCCAAAAGCCGCGCACCATCAAATATGGCACCTAGGCGACACTCACTGATTTTTCCAAAAAGGTATGACAAATTTAGTATTGTGAAAATTCTCACAGTCTCTAGAAAACAGTGGTACAAAAATTTTTAAAATCCGAGCAAGTTTATTTTTATCGTGCACCCCCTACTTCTCGCAACCACGTATGCAGATCGGCGAGCTAGCTGCGAAGGATTGACATCGTGAATCAAGTAATTTGGTACCAAATTTGTTGAATTTATTTTCGAAAAGAACTTTTATCGTAAAAAACGATGTTTAATTTTTCTTTGTGCGTTCATTTCCATCTAAATTTAGTTAAGTATTACTAATTACAAATAATATTTGTCAGATAATTTTTTTAATGACAATTAAAATTGGAAATAATTTTAGCATGAAATGAGAAAGTAACACAATTTACATTCAACATCAAAAATTTAACACTTCTGGTCAAATTATGTATCGGGAATTCTTAAAACGTATAATATGTTTTCTCCTAAATATATAATCGTACTTGGTAGTTTTGATGTTTGAAGAAATTAACCACACTTTAATGAGTGTAAATTATAACATATGTTCGGTTCAATTTACAACAAAGATCATCAAGCGGATTTTAATTTGATTGATACTGGATACGAAGAATTTCTCAGATTTAAAATTAATTTAAATATCCAGTTTGTTAAAATTTCAGTCTCGCGACAGATTTGAATAAGATTGAAGATTAAAAGATTAAAGGAAAATTATTAAAATTAAAAAACATCTTTAAATACACCATCAAAATAATCAAGAACCTACTTTGTGCTTCTCAAATTCAATTTCATACGATCGTTTCTCTCAGGATCAGTCCCAATAAGATGAAGAAGCACCAATTCTAGAACGGTATAAACACAATGCTTGGTATGGCTTCTCATCTCCATCGTGTCCAGTATTTTAGCAAGCCCCTTTCTAGTTTTATTAGTTCCGAACAGAACGTTAAGAAGATGAGGAGGAGTATTGAGTAGGGACATTCGGACCTTACCTCTCAAATGTTCCCTCTTAACCGGGTCACTCAACTCAGTACTAACAGGGTAGTCACCCCACATGGCAGTTTTGAAACATTGAATATACCAGAATACCTGCTGTTCGGATCCAGCCCAGCCCATAGCCCGGTAAATCTGTCTTTCAATCGTGCTGCCGAACGTGATCCGGACTAGGAAGATTATCTGGCGTCTCAGCCACTGGAGGTGACCGTGAATCTCAAATATCTCACCGAGAAGAGTGTAGAAGGGAATCGCTATACTGTCCTTGTTTTTGTCGTCTATCTGTTCGGCACCTTTCTTTTTGGATTGGGTGTTTAAGTAGAGTTGTTCGCATGACGGGTTGAAAAACCTGAGATTTTGAAGATAGTTAGTGCTCTTGAAAACTGTTTTGTGAGTGTGTTCTACTAAAGAGTGTAAGTGTATTATATTTACAGTGTATTATATAAATAGCTTAATAAAATAAAGGCAAATCGAAATTCGTAAATTATCCCATCTTTACAAAGACCGAATATAAACAACTTTGGCTTACCTATAAACATGTTCACTTTGTGACAAAGTCTTGTCCCTGAGAACAAAGTTCAGGAAATCTCCAACAAGTTCCTTGCTTTCCTCCATCTGAGCTCCATCCTTTGGAGTTAACACAGGGAATGTAGACGGGTAGCCTGCACTTTTGCAGCCCTTCAAGTTGATATACAAACTCTTAATCTCATCTAAAGTGTGAGTAATAACCCACCCTGACTGAACTTCTTCCTCAGGCTCCATTTCCTCCTCCTCCTCCTCATCCTCCTCAACTCGGCCAAGCAGATACTCCTGAGAATCTTCCTTCCCATTCTCACCCAAATTATCAGCCGTTTGGTTATTAGCCTGGAAAAGTTGAGGAGCGGGAACCTGAGACGGTAAACTCTGGATATCCACAACAAGATAGGGCTCTGGATCTTCAAAACTGCTATCAGACAACACTCCTTCCTCGTCGATAGAGATACTGGTAGTGTTACTCATCGCACTGCCGCATCTGGAAAGGTTTCTTAACTTCTCATCGTCACTCTGATTAGAATCTAATAGAGGTGGGATGTCGTCATCAGTGTAGATGGAGAGGTATCTTCTTACTTTTGTAGACGGTGTGTCTTCCAAGAGCGCTATTTCCGAGGCTGACACCTCAGAGTTGGTACGAGTGCTTCTGTTATCTCCACAGAATATATCATCAAACATGAAATCAGTTGGGAAGTCCTGAGATGTGACTGAGATAGTGTCGTCATCAGACTCCATTGGTGGAGGGCTCTCTCTTAATGACAATGTGGACAGGTCGGCGTCCGACGTAGGCAGGTACTCACTGGCTGGTAGTCTAGGTGTCTCCTCGTTAATTGAAAATGTTTCTGATTCGTTCGTTATTCCCTCTTGTTCTGAAGCCAGTTGCTCCAGTTCTGAGATAATAGTTCCAGAGAGGGTACTTTCTGATGCTAAAGACATGCCATCCACTGATAAGGAACCTGACTCTTCTGTCAAGGAAGAAGGCTCTGGCGAAGACGAGGACATTGAGCTGTTTCGGTAAAACAGAGAATTTCCGGTCTCAACTGAACTCTTTCGGTAAAACAGAGAATTTCCAACTTCAAGAGGATGTGACAACATGGTAGGGGTCGTTGAAGGTTCTTCCTGAATACTCTCAGATCCGGATGAAGTGACCCTCATTATCGCGGCTACATTGGTGTCTTGGGGATCAGGGGTAAACATGAGGGAGTTAATGGACACGTTATCTCCAGATACCGAGTTTCTTGAGATGGTATCTTCTGATGTCGTATCTGCATTGTTACTGTTTATAGATACCGAATCTGCTGCGCTGGTATTGCTGAGCAGGATAGAGTGAGGTCGTAGTGACCGGTAACTGCTTTCGATCATGAGAGACTCGTAGCTAGATCTGCTTTCTGTTCGCGTAATCTTACTCACTGAAGAGTCCCGGTTATGTGTAGAATCATCATGTTGATCGTCCTCAGGAATAACTGTTTGGGTTCCTGAACTGCCACTTTTAGTCGGGGAGTTTTGAGAGCCCGCACGCCTACTGCGACGTCTCCTTTTCGCACAAATACAGATCAAACTAGCAGATTGTTGAGGTGTCGAATTTAGATTGAACTGAGTGAGCTTGAACTTGGATTTATTGCTGAACGGTAAGATTTGCTGACAGATGTGTTTCTTTTGTCTCACAATCACAGTGTAAAGAGGTTCAGATGTTTGAGAGGCTTCCACGTTCTCAACTGACGCTTCCCACTCGCCTGGATGAGACGATTTTTATTGATTTATTAATTCATTTCAGTTTTAAAATAAGGACAAGGATGGACAAAATCTATCGACGACAAAAAACATCAAACTCCGGTCTAGCATACCAGGAAATAAGAACCAACCAACTTGGTTCCGGAAATATAAACAAAACTGCTAATTTAAACAAAGATCTTCTCATTTTTGTAAATTTGCCCTCCTGTTACGAACTCTAAACTCTAAAGTTGAACTGTTAAGAAAAAATGTAATATTGATTATAAATCAAACACCAAAAACCAGCATTTGCGCTATATTTACCTAGCATTTGCGCTATATTTACCTAGCATTTGCGCTATATTTACCTAGCATTTGCGCTATATTTACCTAGCATTTGCGCTATATTTACCTAGAAACTGCCACCACAACGTCATCCGCTCACTGTGATGCTCCAACTGGTTGATAGTAACTCTCAAGTTCTGTATCTCCTCTTGTAGCTGGCTCAGTTCCTCAGCTGAGCAGTAGTTCATTATGTCCAAAGTTTCTAAGAGAACCTCTTTTGATTTCAGCTCTTCTTTCAGGCTGTTTATCTGAAATGGGGTGGAGTTAGATTGGCGGTTTATCATCGAAAGGCCACTATTTTATACCGGTGTAATTATATTAGTTGATTAGTTATTATTTAGTAATTAGTTGATTAGTAATAGTTATTATTTAGATGTTTTCAGAAAGCGCAAACGATGATGACATGATTTTGGACATTTCGAATTTATTCTTGCAAACACTTTCAGCTGACAAAGGAACATTTTGTGTGGCAAGCAAAGTGTTCAACCTGTTAAGGGGGGGGGGGGGGGGGGGGCTGTTAAGGAGGGGGCCTTTAAAGGGGGGGCTGTTAAGGGGGGGGGGGGGCCTTTTAAGTGGAGGAGGGGCCTGTTAAGGAGGGGGGCTGTTAAGGGGGGGGGGGGGCTTTTAAGGGGAGGAGGGGCCTGTTAAGGGGGGGGGGGCTGTTAAGGGGGGGGGGGAGCCCCCTGTTAAGGTAACTGGTACGAGCTCCTTAATCGGGCCGCAAATTTTGAGTAAGGAAAGAGAGTTCCGCGACTCAGATGAGTACAGACAAGTCTTTATTGTAGAACATTCGTGACGAATAGTGATCGGTCGAGAAGAATATCAATAATGATGCAGATTACTTTGCGCACGGCCCTATACTACGCCTTACCCCATCCGGTCCATCGAATAACATTTATACATTTATTTAAATCTTGTATGTTTGTAACATCTTATCAACTTTAAGGGGGGAAGAAATTGAAACTATTTGTATAGAAACTTCTTGATCAGTAAAAATTTGAGCAGCGGAAAAACTGGACGTATCTGTTAGCGCTCATATTTTAGCCGAACAAATTATAGACGCTTAGGTATACAAAAATAGACTGAGTGGAATGCAGAACATAAGCAAGATAAACTAAACTGGATGAAGTCAAGCTCAAGGATAAAATAGTGATTTTATACGGTTTGTTTTTATAGGATCTGGAATTTCAATATCATGTATAATCAAACCTTCACCTTAAAACCATATATTTTTATTTAATGCCAATAATATTAATTGAAATAAAGATAAATAAGAAATAAGAAATAAGAAATAAGAAATTAGAAAGATATTAACAATTTAACAGATCAAAACTGAAATTTTCAAAAATATATTCAAACAAACTCAGTAATCAAACAAAATAAAAGAAAGGATTACAAAATGAACGCTGATTATCAATTATGGAAACTTCTAAAATCCCTTGCTTTTAGGAAACCTTTCACGGAATAAGTTGTAAATAAAATTTCTAGTCTCCAGAATATAAGTCTCCTCAAATAATACACCAAATTGTCTATTGTTGAGCAGATTGCTAAGTTCGATGCTGGTTCTCTGTCTGATTTACTCGTAGATTGGACATTTTCTCAACATATGTACTTGGTCTTATTTCATGATGTGTCAGCGGTACTGTTCGTTACGTCACTGCGTTTATTGTCCGGATCGTATTTTTTCAAGTGGTCGTAACTACTCATGTAACGAATAGTAAAATACTAATAGTTTTAAAGTGTTCGTTCACCAACTTTATGACTATTAATATATTAATTAATTAGGTTCTATTGCCCATTCCAGACATATCTTGGGATCTATGATTATTTTACCATCGTTTAGGTGAGCTAGTATATGCTTAGATCTTATATGTCTTAACAAAGCTTCCTTGGACTTAGGATTACAGTCACAATATTCGCAGGCATACTGCCTACTATGAATCATCATATGCCTTTTCAAGGTTCCAGCCGTTTTCACTTTAAGGTTGCAGATAGTACAGTGGTGAGGTCTGTCTTCCGAGTGTGTCCATTGGTGAGTAGCAAGTGCGCCCGAGTGATTCGATTTGTAATCACACAAACTGCAAGAATAAGGTTTCTCTCCGGTGTGTGTTCGTTTGTGGTAATTGAGACTGCTCAAATGACTCGATTTATAATCACACAAACTGCAAGAATAAGGTTTCTCTCCAGTGTGTGTCCGTTTGTGAGTAGCAAGAGTGCTCGATCGTTTCGTTTTATAATCGCACAAACTGCAAGAATAGGGTTTCTCCCCGGTATGTGTTATACGTTTGTGTCTTTTCACCATAACAGGAAGATTAGTCCTGTAGTCACACAATTCACATTTGTAAGGTTCGTTACCAAGCTCAGCAGATATCTTAGTAAGCTCATCAGATATCTTAGCAGACAGAGTGTCTTCTCCAGCGTGTCTCCGTTTGTGAGCAGCAAGATTGTCCAATCGATGCGATTTATAATCACACAAACTGCAAGAATATGGTTTTTCTCCAGTGTGTGACCGTTTGTGGACTTTGAGACTGCTCAAATGACTCGATTTATAATCACACAAACTGCAAGAATAAGGTTTCTCCCCAGTGTGTGTCCGTATGTGTCTTTTCAATGTTCCAGGAAGATTAGTGCTGTAGTCACACAGTTCACATTTGTAAGGTTCGTTAGCAAGCTTAGCAGACTTCTTACCAAGCTCAGCAGACTTCTTAGCAGACGGAGTGGCTTCTCCAATAGTGTCACCCACATTGCCACGATCAGGCTTGAAGGTATAGGAACAGAAGAGGAATTTCCGGTAGCAGGTCTTGTCTTCGTTTGTGTGATCGGAAGATTGCAATTATCACACTGGAATTCTTTACTGTCCAAAGGTTCGGCTTTAGTCAGGACACCACAGAGATTCCTGAAATCCTCCGTCTTTACAACTTCACTGTTTGCGAATTGGTTCTTAAAGTCCTCGGATCCAATTTCAAACTCATTGGCCGGTACATATTCAGCTTTCAGGTTGTTATTTTCGGTGTATTCATCACATTTACAACTGAATACTGATGATGCCCAGGTTGAAGGAGCGTTAATTTGTTCGGCGTTTGTTATCTCCTCTTTGATTTCAACCTCCTCAAATTTTTCTGTATTTTTATCTGACATTCCTGATAGAAATATGTGAATATTATGTTAACGTCTTTAGCAAGCACAGTTTCAAATAACGGGATCGCATTAATTATAATTCTTAATGACTCAACCATCATCGTTAAGAATTAATTATAATTCTTAACGACTCAACCATCAAAAATACTTAATAGATGATCAGACCACAAATTTTGTTTAGCCAGAAATTAAGTACATTCGTCTACTCATTTTAGACCTATCCATTTTTAACTAATTGACTGGTCAAACAAAAACTATTATATAACAATTTCGCAGAAAGAACTGAGGAAGTGAGACAAATGTAGAAGTGGTGAAATATTGATGTCTAAGTGGTAGGGGTATCACCATTTCTCCCATATTTTGCGACAAATCATTAATACAGACTAATACATGGTTCAGTTTAATAAGAAATATCAGGAATATTTTAGTCTTCTGCAAACAATGGCGACTTTTTTAACGCGACCTTTTGCGCAATTTCAAGTCTTCACAGCTGCAAAGAAATAAGCATCACATTTCAAATGTCTCTTGATGTATGTGTTAGAGTGTGCTACTAAATTGGTCAAATAAAACAACCGAGCACAGTAAAATATTAGAATGGTTGAGAACTGAAGGGGCGAGCACACGTACAGGTATAGTTAAGGTGACTACAAAGAGAACCAGCGAAATCTAACTGGAGGGCCCTCTAAATGTATATTATCGATGATACTATATTACGACATTTTGCAAGTTGCTACTCAGCACTCATATTTCATCAGAAATAGCATACATTTAGAAAATATCGCTATGATTTGACGGCAGGGTTCTATTTAATTTCTATGTTTTATCAAAAGATGACTTTTTGGCTCTCTGGTCGGAACTCAGAATAGTTACAAAATTTGGTATCTTAAGCTAAACGATTCATTAAGTCAATATTGCGCATTTTTCTTTAAATTTAAGGACCAAATTTGCGCATTCTCCTTTAAATCCGAGGGCCAAATATTACGTTCTTTACAAGGGTGACCGACGGCTGAACCCAATTGAACCTAGTTCCCACTCAGTTAAAAGGGCACCCAATCAGCGTAAATCCCAAAACGACAACTGAACCCAAATTTTCCAAATGATTACGCTAGTGTAATTTTGACAGAATAGCTATTTGTAAAACTGATAACGGGGGGGGGGGGGGGGGGGGGGGGGGGGGGGGGGGGATTGGGGGGGGGGGGGGGGGGGGGGGTTGAAACATCTGTAGACTAGATTAATTCATGAAGGAGTAACCAGCTATATTAAATTATGCGCTCAAGAGGTCAGCAGCTACAAGTAGAATACCCGAAAACTATATTTTTTCCCGATCCATGACTCAAAAGAGTCAAGGACAAGGGTTAGCGAACGAGGTTTTTTGTATATGGTAGCTTTGCGACCGGCCGTGCGAGCGTGCCTGCGAGCGAGCGTACGTGTCCTCGCCCACGTTTCTGCCTGCGCAAAGTTATTTTGCGCGATAATCTGAATTAAACAATTGTTGGCGCGCAGTGCTGAATTGTTCAACTTCATGAGTTCAAGTAAATTGTTAATTTCACCATGTACGCATCCTGCTAGGGACTAATTGATAGCATATTATTATTATTTTGAGTTAGTAATAGTATTACTATTTTGCACAGATCCGTGTCAGGTTGCATAAACGATAAAGCTTAACATATGGTTACATAGAAATGTACACAATTTTCAAATTCAATATGGAATTATATTCACTGGGCGGCGCTCGGTCTGTCACTCCAGCATATCTGCATGCTTATAAACAGTAAAGACTGGGGTCCCCAGGTGGTATGGAATATGATAAAATACGCCATCACGGATCGGGAAATTGAGCGGCCATCCGCAAAAGTTAAAGGTACTTTTTGGTGACAAACGGATTTGAGTCATTCTCAAAGTAGGCTTTGACAATAGCATGTTTGAAGAGCCTTATCTGATAGTAATAGTTATACTAACATTATACATTGCTATTTGGGGTGAGATCATTCCAAATTTCGGTAGAGGTGTACAGAAAGTTCTGTTGGGAGATATCTTATCTCAGTAATGGGATCAGACGAAGTTTTTCATTTTTAGGGCAGAACTTAAAAAGATCTTTAATGGACTGACTATAGGGACATAAAATTTAAGGATTTTGAATAGTTTCATAAAATATTTATGATACATGTGCAGATTCTCCGGATTCATAATTTTCTGCTGAGTGAACAGCGGTTTAGTGTGTTCAAGATGCAGTAGTTCTTGCTAACCATAATATGTTTATTATAAGTTCTCGAACGTGCACATGATTAAGTAGTATTCTTTATGATCAAAATCGGGGATGTTACCAAATACAAAATAGCAGTCTTATACATCGCTTTGCAATTGCACAAATTTTATTCAGCCTGTGTTTTGGGATTTCGATTCCACTCCAGTAACTCATACAATAGATAGTACAAGCAAAACATAAAGACTTGACACACGTTGCACTTGCATTGCAAGTGACTTGCAACGCCTTTTCGCGCGCGAAATACAACGTGTAGCAAATAAAAACAAGGTGCCGTTCTTTTGTGCATAGTGCCGTTATCCATGCGGTTCGGCTTTGTATCAGAGATTCCTTAAGGCACGCTGAACTGAAAATATACGACTTCAAGTCTCCTTCGTACTCCGTTTTATCGATTCGCATCTATACCTGGATATAATAGCTTATAATGTTAGTTATACGTACATAACTTCACAATGTACAGGGTGTTCTCGATACATCAGAACGGTTTCAACAAGAATTGCGCCCGTTGTTTCGTTTTGGCGGACGCTAGATTTCCATTTCACATTTACTATAAATTTAAGTATAAGCTCCAATCAGCTCATTTCAATCTTCATGATAATAATATTGATAAATTATGCATCAAATACGGGAAACACTTGAAATTCAGTTCAATTGCCGTAGAACTTAACTTGTATCTGTAATTCAAGAAATTATCAGCAAAGGTAAACTATACTCGTGTACACATCAATACACTATATATATATATACTACGCGTGCCACGTACAAATTGGGCGTATTACCTAATAGTAATATTATACATTACATGCATCAGTATACATTAAAACACTGTCGCGCCGCGCATTCATAGATCACAGGCTATCTATACATCACATCTCCGCAAGCAATCCTCGCGCGCGCCCAACTTTTTCGTTGCATGGTAACGAACGGAAGGAAGGAAGGACACACGACATATTTAAACCCACCTATCTCGTTCTCCAAAATCCACGTTTTTCTGCAAAAACCTCCATTCGTAACCTTTCACTATTGCCTTTTTTCAAAAGGGTGAAAAGGAAAAAATCTGCAGTAGACTAGATTAATTCATAAAGGAGTAACCAACGAATATATGACATCTAACTTAGCTCTGCAAATACATTATCTTTCGCCACGATTTTGCCTAGTTTGGCGTGCCGCGATTTTTGGCCTAAATAATCGCGATTTTCTTTTGTCCTTGCTCAGCACTCATATTTCATTAAAAATGAGGTATAGAGAGGTTCACATGATCCCAATCCATTGTTCTATTAACCTGCCATTAGAGCCTTATATGCACGCATCGTGTTGTTTTGTGACTTTATACAGCTCGATATGTACTCACATTGAGGTATGGGCTATCATAAATCACATTTTGGGCACAGCTCTGTCTGATTTATGGTTAAAGAAGACGCCCAGTATATGGGAGTACCCGGCACATTTGGAAAACATCTTGATGATATAGAGGGGGATCATGTCCCCCCCTATAGAGGGGGGATCATGCCCCCTCCCCCCCCCCCCCCCTATAGAGGCACTTTATCAACGGAAGCTAGAACCTTATGCTGAGTATTTGCGTGTAACATGATACGAGGAGACCCGTACATTAGGTGACTTTAAACTATACATTGTACATTCAGATTGAAATATGAAATTGAAGGAATCCACGAAATGAGCAACAAATTGCAATATCACCTTGTATTTGACCTCATATTATTATCTGCTTGGGGAAGTACAAGTTTCGACAAACTTTTTATGATTGTCCCTACAATCATTGTGTAGCTAGGTGTGTAACTAGGTGCAAATATTCAATACAATCCTTCATTCCTACATTCAAATATATAAGAATTTACCATACAAATCTGGCGAGATAGTTGTGTTTGGGCTTATCTCACAAGTCACAATCCTTAATCGTTAGTGGCACCAAACTCTCAGAGTTTATAGTATGCCATTACCATGATCAGTACTTCTTTTATACTATTTTCGTCGTAAAAGAAATCAATTCGAGCTATGAACTCAAAATTTCAGTGTAGTCTCATGTCTGGAATTTAGTATTTAGTAAGGGGAAAAGTGGTCGATTTAAGGGTTCCGTTGGATTTGAATGTTCACAAGGATTTCTCAACGGAATATGGTAGTTAAGACCCCTACGAACATAATTAGACTTGTTGCCAATTTTGTATCTCAACAGAAACACCATTTTTACCACTTTTTACCACCTTTGTACCACCTGTCTGGTTTGCCAAATATCTTTAGTTGTGAACGTCGTAAAAGGCTGCAAATTAACCTAGAATGTTTATCTTATCAAGGAGTAAAACTTTTGTGTGAAAAATTTTTACATTGGACAATCAGCTAATTGGATAATTACCAAATAGTTAATCACCAAAAAAAGTGAAAATTTTTTTATTGGCTCAAAATGATTGAAATCGTTTGAAACACGGAGAAATATAGTTTTTAGAAAAACTTCAAAAAATTTTCACTTAAAAATTTTTTTCGAGACTAAGAAAAAAGTTTGAAAATTTGAAAATATTTTTTTCCGCCAAAAGTGATCAATCATCGAATTGCATGAAACGTGGATAAAAATGCTTTGCAGAAAAACTTCGAAGATTTTTAGATTGGGGAATACTATTTGACCAAAACCCATAATCATGGGTAGAGTGTACCGCTGCCAGTGTCTCTCTTTTCCAAACAAAAGGAAATGATATTAATTTGAGGAACCGTCCGCTAATGCAAATTA